ACCACAGAGGAACTCTGAAACGATGATCGGTGTGTTAGCGAGCTGCATCACTTCATCACGATCCCTCTGGTTTAAAGGAGGGCACTCACCCTCACAAAAAAACCACACACACAGAATGTCAGGGGATAACGTTAACGCTGATTGGAGAGGTAGGGTCAGGGTGATCACATTTATGGACGGAATGGACCGGAAGCTCAGGCCACGTCCAGCACGCCAGCAGCCACCAGTTGGCGAGAGAGCCAGTCCAGCCCCTCATGGAGGCCCGTCCCGCTGCGGGCATCGCAGCCCTGCACGTGCCAGCTGCGGCCACAGCACAGTTTGTGCAGGCTCAGCAACTCTGTCAGCTCCTCCACAGACACCGCCCCCGGGACGTCCTGCAGACAGGGTCAGGGGTCATGGGTCAGCAGCAGCCTAAATACTACCCTCTATCCACAAAGATGCTCCCCATAATCATGTTTGGGAAGAAAGTGATTTTTAAAAACCTCACATTCCTAAAATGCAGCACAGATACATTGACAAGATTGACAAGGCATAAGAAATGTAAAGCTACAGTTTATCATATTTTCAGTTCTCATTTGGGTCTAAACTACACACCCCCACTCATAAAGAGAGACTCATTCATGTAACATTTATTTTTCCAGCAGACGCTTTTATCCAAAGTGACATACAATTGACAAAGCAGGGTCAGACAGGCCCTGGAGCATCTAAAAAAAACAAAACCACACTCTGCTAACCCTGGGATTTGAACCAGCGACCATACGTTCAGTCATAGGGTCAGAAACCACTTAGCCACACGGGGTGGCAGTTTTTTTTGTTTACCTGTTTGTTAGCAAAGATGAGGAGCAGAGCGTCTCTCAGCTCCTTCTCCGTTAACAGCTTTGCTAGTTCACTGTGGGCCTCCATAAGCCGGTCCCTGTGACAGCTGTCAATGACGAATACCACAGCTAGGCGGCGCAAGAGCACAGGATGAAGTGTTATGGGACATACGAAACACACGGCAAGCCACATCAATCAGGCATCAAGAACCTCAGCCATTATCCACGTCATTACAATTGCAAATCTAACTTCAGATCTTCCATGATCGTTTAAAACAGTGAGCATGAACAGCTATTATGAACCCAAAATGAAATATGGTAAAAATGTTATGCGCTTGGTCTGCTTAACAGATTTATGCTGGCCTTAGGGGTACATGTCAAACAAAAAAAACATCACAAAAACTTCAAAATGTGGTCAGAATTGGGGCAGTCACAATTATTTGATTAAGCTTGATTACTCGATTATTAACAAGCATTGATAGAAAAATTTCCTTCTCCATTACTTGGCAATATGGCGAAGGTAGATGGAACATGCAGGATGAGGATTCAAATTAAGAGCAAAAGCATTTGTGTGGAAGCACTTCACATTAAAAGCAAATGAGAATGCAGTCGTCCATCAGAACTGCAAAGCAGAACTTAAATATCACCACAGTACGACTGCAAAGCAAATACATCTGAAAAAAGGACATTCGGGTTTGGCGGACTCACCCAATAATGCGAGGTTAGCCATAGATATGTCCCATTTAGCCTCTCGAAGTAGCCTAACCTGTCCTTGTCATCACTTTGACTTAATTCATTTTGCTTATTCGAATTCCTGTATGTTACCCTGTCGCTAAGCTGCATCATTTTACATAATACGGTACATAATAACCTATTAACATTATTTCTTGTTAACATGTTTTGTGTTTTGAATAGGGCTGAACGAGACTAGACAATGATCACACTGCAATATTTAGAAGTTGAAAAATAACTATATAGCAAAATGCAGAACTTATCTACCAAGAGTCTGTCAAATAACTCTGTGTTGCCGAGAGTTGTGCCACCAGACAGAAAGCAGTGCCGATATCACTCGCTTTTGCTTATTGCCACTATAAAATAGGAAATATTTCCATTCTGCATAATAATGTCTTTTCGTGTGACTGAGTATGCACCCTGCAATGTGTGATTGGTTCCTGCCTTGCGCCAACTGCAATGTATATTATATTATATATTATATTTAAACGATTACTCGATGAATCCTGAGATTAATCAGTAGATTACTCGATTATTAAAATAAATCGACAGTGACAACCCGTCAGAATACATGGCAGTCTGACAACTAAATATCAGTTAGTTTCCGCTTAAGAAAAAGAAAAAAAAAGATATAATAGATGTAAGCAACAAAGCCATAAAGCATAGCCTACCCTGAGTATTTAGATAATAGTGTTTCCAAAGTGGTCTGAGTTTATGCTTGCCACCCACATCCCAGATGGTGAACTTCAGATTCTTATACTCCACTGTCTCCACATTGAATCCTGGAAAACAGGAACCTGAAATTAGCCTCATACCCTTTGAGATGGCTTTAACACCTGAGATTAAACCCACTCCACCACTGATGAGAATCCAATTCACATTAACACCCAGACCAGGGGTAAACTAGATGATTCTTTGTGAAAGCAGAACAACTGTTTATGTGACACACAATATGGATGAGACCCAAAGTCTTGAAGTAGTTTTCAAATTTAGGATCTATTGACATTAATTGCTTTACTCTTTGGTGAAGGATCTAATCCAGACCTGCTACTGAATGGGAAGAAGGCAAATGTTTATGCGGGAAGCTGAAAAGTCACATGACCCATTACACACAGCAGAGAGAGAGGGCTGACTGCATGCGTCAAGCTTACCGATTGTTGGAATGGGCTGCATGAACTCATCCTGTTTCAGCTTGAAGAGGATGGTGGTCTTACCGGCACCATCCAGGCCCAGGGTCACCACGCGAATCTCCATCTTTGGGCCAATGTGCACCCGGTTATCCTGCAATGCACACCAGGTACCATGTTTATGGGATCTACAGGAGGGTGCTGTCAATTGAATGCCATGTTCCTGGGTTCTACAGGAGGGTCCTGTCAATTCAGTACTATGTTTATGGGATCTTCGGAAGGGCCCTGAAAATCGAGTACCATTTTTATGGGATCTATGAGCGTTTTTCCACTGCACCAGGTACCGTACTTTTGATACTTCAAGAAAGTACCAAAAGTACGGTACTTTAAGGTGTTGGTTTTCCATTGATATAAAATTGGTGCTGGTGCTGAATGACATCACAACTCAAGGTGGGGTATTTTGTACTGAATTTGAAAAATGGCTGTAGTACGTTCCACGCCTTGGCGATGTGCAATATTAATGTCAACATTGCATGTTATGCACATACAATTCTTACATCGCAAGTCAGCTATACTAAAAATAAGGCTTTAGCCTACTTTCAATTCTGTAAAGTTTTGCTAAAATATTTTTACTGTTACTCTGTCATAGGAAAAAAAACTTAGCAAGCTTTGCAATTTTTATCATTATCCCTTTTATAGATTCTTATGCGTTTAAAAACTCAGTTTAAAGTTTTACCCCCACAGCTTTAGTGTGAGCGCTGCATGCGTTCTCCGAAAAAATCAGAATCATTTTCATCGTTGTCATTTAAATCACTCGCAGACAGGCTTTTGAGAAATTTATGAACTCCTTTTTTGTTTTTATAAATACCCCAATATTTATTACAGCCAAATCACATCGCTATATGCCTGCTATATTAGTATATTCAACAAAATACTTTTCAATTTTTTGTCATGCCAATCGGATCTTTTTGTCTGTTCTTACAATGAAATCACGTTTTTTTTTTTCTTTAACTTTGTTTATCATTATTTTCCAAGTTTGCAACTGTTCTCAAGGTGGTGTTTGTATTGTGTTTCAGAGGCAGGCTATTTGCATTACCAATTGACAAAGAAAGCGTTTCAAGTCCCACCCCAAAGTACCGAAGTACCAAAGAAGTACCCCGGCTGGTTTGGCACTTTCGGTACTGGAACTTTTGGTACTGGTACTCGACTGGAAGTCAATGGAAAAGTGAAAGTACCAAAGGTACTGTACCAAATGTATAGTACTTGGTGTGGTGGAAAAACACCCTATGGAATGGTCCTTGATATTGAGCATAGGGTTACCTGTACCCCGTTTTACGAACGTTTACTTTATGCCATTTCAATTTTATGAACGAAATACATCATCACTAACCAAAAAAATCTGAAGAGGATTTTCGCTTTTACAAAAAAAAAAGTAGAAATGTGAAAATAGTGTTTGTTTATCAGCAAGCCAGTTATAGATATACAGTCATGCGCCAGGTAATCAGATTTTGGTGAACAGCGCACCACCTACACGATGGTGGTCCAATAAGATTTTAATGGAGCAGAAAAATTCCTATTGCCTGCCGCCCCCACAGTCATTGTAACACATAGCACAACTCATTACTCACATGTTTGTGGTGATGCTAGTATACAGTAAGTAAACCTACTGCGCTGGCAGTCGTATGAAAGTACATGAATGTACATACAATTATGTACATTATCATAATACTTGATAATGATAATAAAGCAACTATGTTACTGGTTTATATATTTACAATACTGTACTTTTTAATAGTTTAATTTATACCATATAGCCTAGGTGTGCAGAGGGCTGCACCATCTAGCTTTGTGCAAGTACACTTTACCCTGTTATTACATGTTTATCATCGTCAAACAACACATTTCTCATATCCCTGTCCCATTAAGTGAAGCATGACTGCATTGATTCTGGTAAATGAAATTACACTGTACATACATGATTTCTACTTTATATAGGCTATGTATTTATAATGTTATTCCTGCTTTTACTATACGTTAGAGTAATTTTAGGTTTTATTTGGCGTGATTTGGTAGTTTTTTTTTGGGTCTTCTGCTCAGAATGTTTTCCCCATATAAATGAGCGGTAACTGCTTCTTTGCGTTACGCCATTTCGGCTTATGAAAGGTTTCCTAAGATGTTTATAGGATCTATGGGAGGGTCCTTTAAATTGAACAGCACTTTTAGGATTCCTGTGAGGCTACTGATCCTTGGGATGCAAGTCTCCCAAATCGACCATGAATCACTGCTCTCTTTCACCCATGAGTGATAATAATCCTGTTAACCAGAAGGCGTGCGCCTCACTTTGCGGTCACATTTTGATGTGGTTGCATTTTGGCGTACCTTTGTGAAGGTGACGGGGATGCCGGCATCCAGCTGGACGTGGTCCGTCAGCTCCGTGAACTGCTGCTGCTGCTTCTGCAGGGTCTCTAGCAGCCGGGTTATCTCTTGCTTCGCCAGCACCACGCGGCAGTCGTCCTGTAGGGCGCGCCACCAGAAAGGACCCTGTTCTCACAAATCATTCAAGTACTACAAATGAAATGTTTAAACTAGAGGAGCCTTTTAGTCTGTTAGCAGGCAGCCTCCTGACGAGACTTCCGGACCGTGGCAGCGCCCCCTACCTGCTGCAGCGTTTTCTCGCAGTGCAAACATGCGGTGGACACCTGGGACAGCAGGATGGTCATGTCCTCCTGCTGCTGCCGCAGCCAGATGAGGCGCTCGCGCACGTGAGCGTCAACCACACTGAGCGCCATCTCTTCCTGGCGACATAGAGCCTCATGCAAGTCAGCGAAGTAGGCCCTGACACAGGAGCGTGCACTCTCTGCTGTGCCCGGGACCTGGGGGGGCAGGAGAGGCCACATTCAGACAAAAGACGCCATCATGAGTAAATACCATCAATCCGACCGATAAAACGCTCCTCTGCCAATATGCAAATTAATACAAAATTCTCAGAATCCAAATATCTCATTACGTGGCCGCAGAGGGATGGTTCACATTATTGAGTGTTTCTGAAAACGAATTTAAAACTTTACACTGAAGATGTACTGCATGTGACCAATTCTTCATGTGATTAATATCTCATTGCCTGTTACATAACTTTATTTCCTTAAAACAGTGCAAACAAGTTCTCCATGAATCAAAAAGCAAGTTAACTAAAAAGCAGTGTATCAGACTTAATGAACAGACTTACAGGAGAACTTATCTGCAATATTTATGATTAGATACCTGAGATGTCACAGGGGTCCAGAGCTTATCCTGGAAGCTATGGACGCAAGGCATTTATGTAAAAATGTATTTACATAAACCCCTTCCTGTTTTGTTTCTTGGCCTGTGCATCGCAGCTGGACTGTATGTTTTTGGAAAAAATTCCTTTCAAATATGGAGCCAGCCCAGCACTCTAGCTAACATAATGTCACAAAAATTTCACAGTTAAACCACAAAATTGTTTTATTGCTGCTCAAAATCACATAACCTAATGAGCTCGTCCCGTGCCTGCGGCCAACTGTGATGTAGACGCCCTGCTCTTATATGGCATCACACGGTCCCAGCGGAGGTGTTTACTGCCACTCAAACCATGCATTTTGCATAGTACATACAGTCATTCCTTATTTAGGAGATGCTGAAGCAACATGTGCCACTAAAGCAGCTACCATCTTTTGATTCTACTCTCTATGTATTTAGTTCGTGAAACAACTGGGAAGGGGGGCAATACTTTTTCTTTTTGATTGGGGACCCAGAAACAAGAAACATACCCCTGCATGGAACACAGAACAGAACACAACATTACACTGGCATTATATTGCAGTACAATGAGATTAAGAGTCTATGTGAAGCTTTGGTGTGACCACACAGCCAGCCATCTCTGGATTTAGGCTGGGCCTCACAGGTGAGCGAGGATCTCTCACCCCCTTCCACCCCACTTACGTGCTCCGTGTGGGCCATGCCGACCCCGTCCTCCACGATCTGCTCCCCACCCTCGATCTGCTGCACAATGCCCACCAGCTTGCGCGAGTACTCCGACACCTCCTCGGTGAATGTGCGGATGCAGTGCGCCATGTCCAGGATGGATGCACGGATCTGATTGGCTTCAGCCTCCAACACTGCATGCTGGGAAGGGAGAGGTGGTGGAGAGGATCGGGGTAAATGCCAGTGGAGGCACCATGAGAAAGCTTAGACTTCAGAGAAGTATGGGACCAGAGATACCCCAGATGGACAAAAGTTTTATATAGCATTTTATACGGCAAAATTAAGAAATATGAAGAAGGTATGGACTGGAAACAAAACAATGGGAGAGGGGGGTCAATAAATGATAGATAGAATCACGCAGAAAACAAAGCAGCTTCTGGCATAGAGGCCCGTCGCAGGACAGACTACGACGCCACGAGGTGCCAGACATGACTAATGGAACGATCACCAGCGTGGCCTGGACATGCAGCGGAGAGCGGCGGACCACGGCACCGGTACCTTGTGTCCCTGGTGCTTGCCGTACTCCTTGCACACGCAGCACATGAGGGGCCCAGGCTGGCAGCCGTCCTCCAGGCACACGAACTCGATGGCGTGCACCTGGTGCTGGGGGCACAGCGTCTTCTCGTGCGGCTTGTCGGCCAGCGGCACGCGCCGGTGCTTGGCTAGCGTGCGCGTGGAGTGCGTCAGCTGGGAGCACTCGCCACACAGGTGGGTGGCGCACACTGTGCAGTACATGGAGGCCGTGTGGCTCTCATCCTCATCACAGCGGATGATGCACTGCGGGGACAGGGAATGCCGGGACTGTACCTCCATTCGGGACTGTTTATTATCCTCATGTATTTAGTGCTACTGTCTGTTACAGTCTAAATGTAATTTACACTGTTAGAAGGTGGTTGTTGTGCCATTGTAAACCTGCATTTCCTTCAGGATAAACAAAGTATCTACCTACCTATCCATCCATCCATCCATCCATCCATCCATCCATTCAATCTATCATCCATCCATCCATCTATCCATCTTTTGCCAGGTTTTCACAAACAGGTTAAGGAACATGGTAACACATTTCCAGCTGCACCCCCTGTGAACACCCCTGCGGACCTGGCCATACCTCTCCCACCCCCCCAAGGGCATCATCCGACATCCCGGACTGGTTGGAGGCGCCGTTCTGCAGCCGCTCCAGCAGCTCAAGCAGGGCGAAGTTCTTCTTCAGCCCCCAAACCCCAGAATCCCCTGCAGTGGAAACACAGTATTTGGAATTGCTGACAGGTCCAGATATCTAGCCTGATGGAAATCCAATGGGCATCCCTGACACATCGGCGACTCTGTTGGGTCGAGTATTGGAACCGTACACAAATAGCCATTGAGCTTCGATTTGCCTCCGATTTTTGGCATTTGTGGACATTCTCCAAAAATTGTCAGCAAGTGGAAAATTGGGGCTAAAATCACGTAGCATATACTTAGCATTAGTTTTTTAGCCCTGATTTTTACTTTAAATGTAGACCAGAAATGCCCTTCAGCAAAAACTTTCAAAATCGTGATACATGTCAAATCGGCAAACATATCGATATAATATTGATTCAGGAGGTCTCTGCTGATTCCCACCCCTAATATCTACATACCAGAGGTGGAGATTTCCTGAACGAACAAATGCAGACCAAGATTTTGTTTCAACTGGTTGGTTGTTTGGTTGTTTCAAAACCAGTTGAAACAAAATCATGGTCTGGATTTGTTCGTTCTGAACCTGAAATTTCCCCCTCTGCTACATACTAACCGGCAGCCTTTAGAGATTTGAAAGTTATAAAAAGCTGGTTCAAGTCAACTGCAAGCTCACATAACAACAGAAAGCAACAGCAAACAAAGTAATCAAGCAGCTTATAACTGATATTGATCCACACAACACAGATTGTACTGAACCACAGATACCCAGCGACTCAATGCAGACATCAACCTGTGAGGCCTTTCACTGCAGAGAAAGTGCAGTGAATAGGTCAGTGTTTCCCAACTCGGGGAAACCAGGCAGTCCACATTTTTGCTCCCTTCCAGCTTCCAGCACACTTGTCCCAGGCATCCGATGTTCCTGATAGGCCAGGAACTGGGAGGGGGCAAAAATGTGGACTGTCTGGAGGTCCCCAAGGACCAGGTTGAGAAAGACAGGAATAGGTGCACCTTCATTTTGAGATGGAAAATGAAGGTTAAGTGCTTCCTGCTGCATCAAAGGCATTTGAATAGGCTGAGGAGGGGGTCACGGTTTTTATGGATGTGCGGAGAAATATGGGAGGGCACACAAGGGCTTTTGAGAGTAACGGACAGTCAGAATGTTAACAATCCGAACGGGCCTTGTGAGACCACGGCCTGCGAGGAGCACATAAATAACTCCTAAATGTCATGTCCACGACACAACAACAAAACACCGCAAGAAGGACGGCAAGGAAATTGCAGTGTGACCTGACCTGCGATAGGGAATGTCTCTTTTTGTGAAGTGATTGAGCTTTAATGAGCATGTTTTTGTTTAAGTGTATTTACCCTTTCATGGGTAACAGCTGTAGCTAAGCTGCTCCCTGAAAATGTTTGTCTTTCCCCTTTTTGTTTTAAAGGCCCTTTTGTTTCTTGGAGGTCAATGCAACTTCATTAGCACGCTTTTGACCATTTATTCATAAGAATTGTATTTTATGAATTTGTATCTCATATTTTATTTTTGATTCATGCCTAGAATATTTTATATGCCTTGGATTCACTCCCTGCCAAGACTTGTCTAAAAATAGAAATATGTGTCCAATTGGTCCGGAAATTCTGAATGTTACCGCCCTTTAAATCATCCACGTTACAAATTTATAAAATCGTACACCCCCCCTGACTTAACATAAACATAAACATTAAACACAATCAGTACTGCTTCTTTTACCAAACCACACAGGCGTTCAAAGTCACCATATGAATAATGAAAGTTATTTTTCCACTTGCGAGCTGTGATTAAACGTGGCAATCTACTGAAACTCAGCTACTCGAGCCAAACCCCAACAAGACAAAACAGGAAGAAGGTCTGCAAATACACCAGCTTCACCGTGAAGTGCAGAGCTCCCACAACCGATTACGTAATGTTATCAAGTGGAGCTTGGATTCTGCATTGCTCATAAATGAAAGATAAATCCCTCACTACCATGTTTCAACAAATTTTCAGAGCAAGCCCTGCAACATCTAATTGCCTTTTTGTGTAACTCAAATGCGGCTTTATTCTATTCCCAGATTCCACCTTCCAAGCAGCTTTTGTATATTGAATATGCCGAGTGTTTGTCTACAGTGGTGCTAATTATTGTTATTTCTTGTCTGCAGTTGCAGTCATCAGTGGTTGAGATCGGAAGGTCATTGGTTTGAATCCCATGGCTGGCAGACCGATGCTGCCATTGGGCTCATAAGCAAGGTTGTTAACTCCTAATTGCTTCAGGGGCACTGTACACTGGCAGACCCGTGCAGTGACCTCCAAGCTTGCTGTCACATATGCGTCTCATTGAGAGCAAGATGGAACAGAAGAAAAGAATTTCGAAACCTGAAACCCTAAAGGTACACTTCCTTAGTGAAGTTCAAATTCTTTCTATTGTCATCTTCAGCGATATGATCCATGGGTCATACGCTGGGATGAAATTTTGATCTTGCTGGGAATAGTGCAAAAGAACAGTAATACGAGAATAAAATATGAACATGTAATACATGGACTTAATACATAATGGACCGAGGAATGATTATAACTTAGCTTGCTGATGAGTGAACGGCATGCATTTCCTCACCCAGCTCGGTGACCTGTCTGTCAAATGGGCAGCGTATGGCACGACCGTGCAGTGGCAGGCGGGTGAGGCAGTCGTGACACACAGTGTGACCACACAACAGCAGCCTGGGCACCTTGTCCCCTTGCAGAGAGAAGACATCTTCACAGACTCCGCATTCCAGCACCTGGCGGCAGTGACACAGTGCTCAATAAGCAGGGAAAAAGCTACGTGTCATACTGTAGAGCTTCCGACAATGAGGACAGTGTGGCAGACATCTGTTAAAATCTGACACATGTGAAATAGGGACCATTATGCATTCACACCTTAAACAGAACAAATGTACAACTTTTTTTTGCATTCTTAAACAGGCTAGAGGGAATTAGCATATAAAATAGGTACAGCTTAGACTGAAATGGCAAACCATTTTGTACATTCTTCATCAGAAGATCACCAGCATAAATAGTGACACCTAATTGGTACAGTATGCCATCATTTTAAAAGATATTCAGTGTACCAGAATACTACCCAAAAATATTCAGCTGGAATTACTAGTGCTTACATCTCTTTCAAGGAAGGGACGCACTCCTATGTAGAAGCCTTTGCATTTAAACTGTCACTCTTTGGTGTCTGGTTCTGCTGGTGCTTGGACTCTGCATCATGGGTCACTATTGAGAAATGCACGCAATGTGAAATTGCGTGGAAATTCAGATCTTCGCCTTTTTGTACGCTCTATAACGTTTTCTCCAGAATTTCATTGATGTGAAAACATTAATATAATTAATTTAGATTAAATTTGCACTAGTTTGTCCTCATTGCATGTACCATTGTTTGGTGTCTGGTTCTGCTGGTGCTTGGACTCTGCATCTGTGATCACTATTGGGCCCTTAATCCAAAAATTCACCAGAGCCCCCAGATACAAGAATGACCCTGTGCTCATACCCCAAGCTTCACTCTCACTTCGATGTGTAAGGAGAGCAAGATGGCATATGCGAAAACCAAAGAATTCCTATGTGGCGAATAAAGTGTCATTTTAAAATGGACACCTTCCGTAATTAACTAGGAAACTGCACAATTTCACGCCATTTGTACAAAACAGCGCAGAGCACTGAGCACACCTTTCAGGTGCAGGAAGTTGCACTTCCAAACACATTTCATGCAATAGCTTCTGATGCATCAACAGTCTGGAGGTACTATTTTTTAAGATCACACGATTACCGTAGTCCGTCAAACCGACTTAGGCGCCAAATACATGTCAGTGGCGCAATGCCGCCCCTTGATGCACATTCATGCATTAGTATAGTAGGCTTTGGAAAGACGCATCCACCCGTCAGGTTCGCCGGATTCTTTGGCAGGCTAATGGACTATTAATATCGCTCCTTAATTTCCTCACTGCCGCTGCGCATACACCGCACAGTACAGCACAAATGGAAATTTCCAGATCAATCGCGACTAGGCTGTCGGTTGGCACCAAGGCTAGGCTGCACACAGCTAGCTGGCAGTGCGTAGTTAACTTGAAGTCCCATACAATGCATCTTACCTCGTATATCTACTCTACTTGTAACGCTGGCTACCCAGCTATATCGGGCACATTAATGACGAACCACAGAGGCCAGCCAGCTATTAAGATGAAATGGCATTAAATAGCATTTTGTTGAAATATCAGATTACACTTGCGCGATAGCTGAGGCCACCGGGTTGTCATCGCCGCAACGAAACATGCGATGTCCCGGCCAGCGGCTGCATCAGAGCCACGAAGTCATCTCCAGGGGTGCCGGGCGATTCAGGGATCGCAGCGTCCACACGCATCGTCCTCATTAACCCCAAACACTCCTACCCCACCTCCGCTATGCCGCCACGCACCTTCACCGTACTGCCAGCAGCCGCCCGGCCGTGCCGAATACAGGGCTCCATTGCAGCGGCGGTCCCCTGCTTGTTTACAGCCAGACCGGCGGCCATCCTCGGGCACTACCACCGACGCCAGCGCTGGGGGAAGAGAAGGGGGGGAAGACAGGCGTAATTCAAGATGCGTATCTTTATACTGATTTAGTCAGAACGCGTATACATGCGACATTGTCGTATTATTATGCACACGCATGTATTTTATTTCAAAGAAACTGATTGTTAGACTTCAAATAGCGACACTCAAACAAAGGTTTTGCACCCCTACTAAAAATGGAGGATTCTGTCAGCTGTTTCCGTCATCTACAGCATCGCTTTTCCAAACGCAGAAATTAATAAGTAATACAGACACCCCAATCCATTATAAAAAAAAGAAAAGGAATTCTGGTACTGGTACGACCACAGTTTTTAAACGTTGTGTAAAGAGTGACTTGGATGCATTGGGGAGATAATCATATCACCACAGGGATATTAAGAATTAAATAAAACGAATAATTAAGACATTGAAAAAAGTTCAAGTTGCCAATTGGATTGCATTTTCAGGGTGCAAAGTAATTTTATTTTGTTTTCATTACATAAATAAACAACATCTATGCAGTTATTTTCGCCGAAAGCATGATTTCATTATTTAAAATTCAGAAGATAGCAGACATACATTGAAATATAAAAGTATTTTAATATATTTTGATTTAACTACAAAATATACACCTCTAATCATATCACGTAAACAACAAGTATGTGCCATAAATATAAGACTAATAAAATATATGTCATTTTATTTCACTAATTTCACTTTAGAACAGGTGAAATTTGGTCATACACTGTGCACAAGAAGCTGCCAAAATGTATTACAAAACGAATAATAATAATAATAATAATAATGATAATAATAATGATAATAATAATGATAATAAACAAATGTTAAAAGCGTTTAAAAATTCAATATGTAAAAAACTCACCTCCCCCGAAACAGCAGGTGGCAGTAAAACACTTCTGGTTGTTCAGAAACACATCTGCATCTGCGTCATAAAGGAAGAGTAGGGTTTGCCTCCCTCCTTCTTCCTCTAGACACCTGACTATGCGGGTGAAAGTTCAAGGGGGCGTATCGGCGAAAGATGGATGTCAATCAGGCGAAACAAGAGCATCTTCTTGCATTGAAAGGTATTTTTCTTTGGTAATCAACTTAATTTGGATTCAGTGTTTCTTCGGATCACCAAGGAATAAATACATGGCTATTAGCTTTATGCTAAAGGGCATGTTTCAAATGGGCACCTAGCTAAAGCACACTAGCATACAGCTAAACCAAAACACGGTGATGGAAGGGAAATTTGAGAAATGCACGCAATGTGATATTGCGTGGAAATTTAGATCTTCGCCTTTTTGTACGCTCTATGACGTTTTCTCCAGAATTTCATTGATGTGAAAATATTAATATAAGAATAATCGTAGATTAAATTTGCACTAGTTTTTCGTTATTACACATACCACCATAAAATATATTTGCAAGCAGATGTTTATTTATAGATAGCTCACTGTGAAATGGAGAATTGTTCGTAAGATGTAGGTTTGTAAGCCTAGTAAACCTAGTAAACCCAGTAAACCCATAGTCGGATATTGTAACATTTTATATGTATGATTTTATGTATTTGCAAAGTTTCGCTGCAGTTCTGTACGTAGTTCCCCAACCCCCCGACCATGAATCGGCATTTTGAAAAAAAAACATATGTGCCACTCAAGCTTTTAATTTTAATGTCATTTCATATGTTTGTGGAAGGGGGTCAGTCCTTGAAAGCATTCTCTGCAGCTGTCATCATGGGCAGACTATTAATATTAACACCTTCATAGTGCGGTATTCTAAAAACGCCACTATAGTAGTTAATATAGCATGCTTTTTTGTAATTATTATGTCGTGTATTCATTTTTTGTTGATCATAATAGAAAAACAGTATCAATCTATTGATGCCTTTCTAGCTGCAGTTTCGATCTTACCAAATTCTAGTTCCAGGCTGGCTCGCTCACCAACGGTTTATTTAAACTTTACGCCCATAAAATAACTATTTACATGTGCTGCATTTCTATACAAGCACCAGAGAGAAGACAACAAAATAATAAACTAAACATTTAATAAGTAATTTTGCTACGAAACACTAACTGTACTATTCCCAGCATGTTTTTTTTTACCACCCAGAAGTTGCAGCGACGGATCGCTGGAATACTTTAATGATAATTTGTGCTGAGCTTATTCATGTTTTAACCCCTATATCAACGAAACTCAATTACTAAAACTACATTCATTCAGAGAAATACAAAATGTTCATCATAATAAGATGCACAATCTTAGTTGAAATATATTTAGTTATGTCTATTTTCAAATGGCTGTTCTAATTAGTAATTCTAATTAGGACCTAAATAATCCATCACCGAATATTGTTGTACGAAAGGTTAGTTTTAAAGTCTTTTTACGTATTATTACAGATATGTTATGCCTGGTTGGATGAAGGCCCCTGTTCATGATACTGTTTGCCTTTTATACAGTGTTTCTTTCGTAGTTTTTTACTTAAGTGTTCTTGTGCCCTTGAGTACAATTTAGCGGCATGGTAACCTTTTTACGGAACAACCGAGTACCGTATTCATAGCCTTACCACAGTAACCAAATGCCCTTTTTTGCAGTGATGCGGCTGACTAAGCCAACGCTTTTCACCAACATGCCGGTGACGTGTGAGGACAGAGATCTTCCAGGTTCTTTAATTATCTTATCTTTCTCATTATCTTTATATGTAGCTTATCCAGAGTTCATTGTATAGAGTTGCGGCGATGTTTTTCATGCATTTTATATTTGGTTGCATACTTAAGTGAATTTGTGTGAATTGCATTGCCCAGGTAATCATTTTAAAGAAGACGATCCTTTAATCTAGGGGTTCAGCCAGCGTATTAAGTGTAGTTTGCATAGATTCTCCTTGATCCTGCTTATCACTCGTCGTTCTGTTGTAAGAGATTTCACTCCACGGTAAACTAAGTGAATGCTTATTATTTGCAATTATTGCAAACCGAGTGATACCATAAATATCGGAGTCCATGATCAGTTTCCTGAGATATGCAGTATTGCTAAAAGTTGGTTTATATTAGTCTGTGTGATATGCAGATGACAAGCTTTGCTTGTGATTTCTTCATAGTTAATTGGTGTTATTTACCACCTCTGAGTCAAATCACGTTTATTGAGTGGATCTGGCACAACCCAGGTCCCACATTTAGTCCCTTGGTTGGAATGGTGATTAAGGTGTTTGATTTCCATCTTCCTGATACTCAGTAGACAGTAATATGATCATTGACCTGGTCACTGGAATTTAACATAAATCAACAACTTCAACAAGATGCCCCTGGGAAAGTTTGCTGTTTATAATAGCTATTTTTCTATGGAAAAAAAAAATTACATTATAAATGTATTTTACACTGGCACAATTAATTTGGTCTCACTGAAAAACTAATAGTGAGGAGAGAAAATGTCTTCTAAAGATATTAGCACTTTGCATTCATTTATTTATTTTGTTTGTTATTTTAGGGTTCATAGTCTTTATGGTCTATGCATTAAAATTACCCAGTGGCACCGGTGTCTAACGGGCCCCTAATGATTGGCTGTCTGGTTCCCAGGTGACCTGTTCAGCCGGCTCATGAAGGAAGACCCGTCGACCGTTAAAGGAGCAGAAAGCCTCATGCTTGGGGAAATGCTCACACTTCCTCAGAACTTTGGGTACCACCTGTTGTGTTTCTTTCCGTGCTGCAGTTTCACATATGGCTCCTTGCGGCTTTAAACAGGTCTCGACTGGGCTGGTGCCACCTGCGCTGTACAGAGCTCACGTTACCAAAGAAATTTACATCGCTTGTCAGTCAGTCAGTCTATATATTACACCTATTCAGTGTTCTCCACCTGTGTGGGTTATCACCAGGTTCTCTGCAGTTAGGTGAACAATCACCCTGTACGTGGTTTCATTCTGGGGAAAAAAACATTTTCAGTTTCATTAAAGGTCGTGCAAACTGAGCTATTGATATAAAACTTATTATGGGTTGGGTGGGTGAAAACCTAGTGATGGCATTTAGGGGGAAAGTCACTGCAAAAGGGGAACACAAGAAAACAAGAGGGTTGTTGGGCCATGGAGAGAGCTACAGCATGTATGGAGTCTGACATCAAATGCTGGGCATGGGTTCGAGGTTCCAGAAAAGGAAGTGTGATTGGGAATACAAGAGAAGGAGAAGTGAGTGACTTTGCTCATCATTTACTTTAGCACCAATGGAGAGTGTGGTCATGGAGCCGAAGGCAGCCAGGATTGGGTCAGTCCAAAGTTGTGATGATCTGCCACCATAGTTGCTCCTCCCCACCACAGTTCCCACTGGTTTTCCAGCCAGAGGTGGAAAGTTCAGGTCCAGAAAGTAAAAATCCAGACAGATTTTGCTTCAACCAACCAGTTGAGCATAAAGAATCAGTCACAGAGTACTCAACTGGTTGGTTGAAGCAAAATCTGTCTGGATTTTTACTTTCTGGATCTGAACTTTCCACCTCTGTCTCCAGCATACATGTGGCAGTGGTCTTTTTATCAGCTTCAGATTGGAAACTACCTTTATATCTCCCTGAGGTTTTGGATTTTTGTGAACCCTGTGTTCAAACATTGCTTTTTTTGCACTCGCAGTAACATCTTCCTGGGTGAGACATTCTCCAGTTACATCAGCGTGCACAATGACAGCGCTCAGGTGGTCAAGGACATCCTGGTAAAGGTAAGTGACCTTCTGGAAATCTGCTCACCCTTCTTCCTACTGTGTTCTTTCAATGATTATTGGACATTGTCAACATGTCAACACTTGGGGTTGGGTGGCTGTTGTCTTGCAGGCAGACCTACAAACCAGCTCTCAGCGCCTGAACCTCTCTGCATCTAACTCCGCTGTGGCAGAGCTCAAACCAGAATGCTGCATTGATGACGTCATCCACCACGAAGTCAAGGAGATTGGGACACATATGTATGCCCCTGTTTTACTTTTACTTGTGTTTATTTCAGTTTGGTTTCTATATAAACCAATGGAGTATTCTGGGCCTGCCAGATAAGATTATCAGAAGGTTCTTTCTCTAAGAAGGTGGCCCATCTGTTAGGCAGTTAATGTTTGACTGTCCTGTTATTAATTGCCTTTGACTGCTCTAGACAAACTAGCCTGCATGTGTTATAACTGTTAATAAAGTTAGAAAATGTGTGCAGTATTGTGCTATGGTTTTTCCAACTCTTCTACATCTGTTAGTTCTGTATGGCAGCTGTGTGGTGCCTTCACTGTAACATCACACATTACATTGCATGTTAGTAGCATGTTAATAGCATGTCCAGAAAGCCTAACTGCATCTCTGCTAAGCCCTGTGCTCATGTTTGCTTGTTGCAGCCTGGTATGTGCTGTCAGCTATACTACGCAGTCGGGGGAGAAACTCTACTTCAGGAAGTTCTTCAAGTTTCAGGTAAGTTCTGCATGTGGGCTTTCATTCACATGTACCTTTCTGCTTCACCACGTCCAGGAACGGGCTTTAGACCTCACTCTCTAAGCATTTAGCAGGTCTGTGGAACAGAGGAAAGCAATTAGCACCGAGGCGCTAAGTCTGGCCACCTCTCAGTGGAGCCCCTCAGCCGTGCATTATGATCAAGGGCTCTTGAGTTTTCCTGCAGTATTAGCTTTGGGTCTTGTTCACGGCCATCGTAGTGAGGGTGCCGCTCGCATGGAGAAAACGGCCTTCAGCCTGCAATCTCTCTTCAACCAGGTGCTCAAGCCACTCGACGTGAAGACCAAGTTCTACAATGCCGAGGTAGGGGGCCAGTATGTACATTACAATTATAAATTTAGCATACGCTTTTGTCCCAAACGACATGCAAGTGAGGCAAATAGCACAATACAAACATACGGGCTGTAAAGGAGTCAGCTAGGCATAAGTGCGGCTAGGCTGAGCTTCCAGTGAACACTCCGATATCTGCCAGCCTTTGTGGTCCACATATAAAGTAATATTATTGCTGCATTTTACAGATAGACGCAGGTTTCATCTCCTTTTGGCTGTACTAAGCTTTAAAAACAATGCTTGGGCTAGATTAGTGGATAAATGGATGTACTTCCCTAGCCATTACTACAAAAGTCAGGATGTGATGTTAACTTTCCTACCTCCCACTATTGGGAAGTTTCTAAAAAAACAAGAAAAACTTTCTGTATCTTTTCCTACATGCTCATCCCAGAATATAAAATATTTCACATATTAAATATCACAATATTCCACTCATGATAAAGCTTAGAAAATAGATTAATCCATTAGTCTGAATGTCAAAGGTGCAAGTTTATTCCAGTGTAAGCGTGTTGGGTCTGAAAGGCGGTCGATGTTTCTCATAAGAAACATGATGGTAACAGTCCTGTTAACCTTGTAGTTAGTTTATAGTTAAAGTCTTTTATATTCTCTTCATGCTTTAACATAACCCAGCTATAACTAATATTTAAACATTTAAAGGGATCACTCTGTTACTATAAAGAGTGAAAATGGGGCCACTTTGGTTAATGGTTGTCTGTAATTTTGAAGCTGATCCTTTTCTGTTGGTCTGCGCCGGCTTAGATGAGCGAGACGTGCTTGTCGTTTTGTTTGGCATGTAATCCCCATTTCTCTAATGTGTTCCTTTTGTTTTCCCCATTAGAGTGACCTCAGTTCTGTGGTAATTAGTTTTCATTTTCTTTGCCAAACCCTCTCGCTTTTTTTTAATCTTTTGTTCCAGCACAACCTTCTCTTCAACGCCGATGATTCTGAACACAGGCGGTGGGAAGGGCGAGAGCTGGGGTGGGATAATGGAAAAGCATTTTGGGAGAACAGGACACTCATTGTGCCTTGTTGCCCTGACTTCCCTAGGGCCGGGGTAGCGCTAACCATTATGCCCTGATGCTTTTTCACTATTCTGCTCCTATTCTGTCCCCTATGGTCCTGGCTTGCTTCCTCTTGTTGATGCGCATCTCAATTGGGATGTTCGTTTAGATTCTTGGGGACACACTTGGGGGATGTTTGGGGGGGGGTGTCATTGTTGATGACCTGGGGGTGTCAGTCAACCAATCAGGCGATGAAAATAATCACGAGTCCTGTTTTTGGGTTCAATGCCAGGGATTCCAAATGTCTAAATTATAGGCTCCTATTTAAGAATTTATAAGCATGTATAGCTGGCCTGATTTTCATACCCGATTTTATTATGAATCAGCAGTCAACAGTAGTTATTTACTTATGGCTTAGGATATGCTGTAATGCCATGTTTATCTAGGAAAGATTATCTGTCGGTTTTTAAAGCCATCAGTTTGTTAGTGACTGCATGGTGAAAAGGCAGGGATCCAGAATTGTGTCAATAACCCCAGCTATTCAGTCAAATTTCACTGTTGGTCCTTTGGCTAATTTCTGGATTTGAATTGCAGGCATGAACTAATCACTACTTCTCTGTCACTTTCGATATATTACTAATCCATGCTTCAGAGGTATGCTGAGCAGTCAATACGTGATTGGATTTTAGAATCTACCAATCTGACCTTGGGTTGTTTTTGGGGATAATGTGAAAACCATAGTATTGTCGTATATTGCAGATTTTAAATGCACTTAATCAGAAAGTAAAGCTTCAATGCAAAGCAGTATATTGGAATTGGTCACCAGGACTGATTAGTTTTTACAACACACTTTAAGCTGACATTCATCTGCTTGATATGTATCCTGTAATGACTGAGACAGAAATGCTGAATGTCGACTAAGTAGTTCTGAGTAGTTTTTGACATATTTCATATTAGTGATTTTTAAAGTGTGAATTACAATTGATGTGGTGATTTAGAAATTACAAATGATGATAATTAGTAGTAACAACCCAAGGTGGTACCAAATTGTCTTCGACAGTTAACAAACATATAGTATGTTAATGGATTTTCGATTACTATCACAAAATTACGTGCAGATGATTGTACTGCCCAGTATACCTTTTATTGTTGTTGTTGTTACTATTTTGTTTAAATATTTTGGGAGTTGGCCTTCCAGGCACCTGATCCTATGCCCTGTCCTACAGACAGATGAAGTCTTCCTGGAGGCTCAGATCCAGAACATCACCACCTCTCCCATGTTCATGGAGAAGGTGTCTCTGGAGCCCTCGTTGATGTACAACGTCACAGAGCTGAACACTGTGACAGCAGGGGACTCTGGGTAGATGCCGTAAACCCTTCCAGCCTCCACTCTTGCTGCCTTCTGCTCGCTGTCCATCGTGATTTGTTTTCGATTTATCAACGTGACTTAAATTTTTATTGGAGATGGTGATTTTCACATGAGCCTTTCTTAGTGATGACATCATATCATCCATGGCTGCTGTGCACAGGATTAGACTTCTCATCCAAGTTGTGGTCATGATCAGAGGGCTTTCTAATATGGTTTAATCATATTGTATTTTTTATTTTCTTTTTGTACGCCTAGTGAATCGACCTTTGGCAAGATGTCCTACCTGCAGCCCATGGATACCCGCCAGTACCTGTACTGCCTGAAGCCGAAGCCAGAATTTGCGGAGAAGGCTGGCGTGATTAAGGGCGTAACGGTGATCGGCAAGCTGGACATCGTGTGGAAGACCAACCTGGGAGAGCGGGGCCGGCTACAGACCAGCCAGCTTCAGAGAATGGTACGCCGAATGCAGACCATGGGGCTGCTGCAGTAGACTCCATGCACACTAACATGCTCATCCTGGCTCAGTGTGCGCTAAGGATGTCCCATTGTTCTTTGTTCCTTCTGAAGGCTCCTGGTTATGGAGATGTGAGGCTTTCCCTTGAGCTGATCCCGGACACAGTCAATCTAGAGGAGCCCTTCGACATCACGTGTAAAATCACCAACTGCAGGTAATGGCACGCGGGTCTCCCCATTAACGACGGGGCAGTAACCGTGGACGTTTGACCATACCTCGACAGACCTCATGCTCCTATCTCCCATCCCCAGCAGCGAAAGGACCATGGATCTGGTGCTGGAGATGTGCAACACCAGCTCCATCCACTGGTGTGGCGTCTCGGGGAGGCAGCTGGGCAAATTGAGCCCCAGCTCCTCGCTCTACCTCCCTCTGAAACTCTTATCTTCTGTCCAAGGCCTCCAGGCAAGTCGCTGTGGGGAAAGAGATCAAGCCTCAGCCAGGCACAGCAACCCCGTGCCGTTTGGCTGGAGGGCCTTGCCTTGGCCACGCTCCCTCTCATCATGGCTGACAGTGTAACCTCCTGGTTATAGACAATTTGGCAAGAGAATCTGTGTTTAGTAAAACCCATATTTAAGCTATGACTTGATTCATAGCCAAATGAGTAGTGGAGTGGGGTGCGTTTATGCAGTCAGTCGGTTCATTTCCCTCTGATGTTTTTCAGAGTATATCGGGACTGAGGCTCACGGACACTTTCCTGAAAAGGACGTATGAATATGACGACATCGCACAAGTCTGCGTGGTGTGTCCGTTTAACGGACCAGACAGCTAGGCCCCCTCCCAAAGTGTGGCACTGTGCTCCCCAAAGGACCAACTGTGGAACGCTCTGCACTCTCCCTCCTGCCTTTCGATGACCTTGTTTTAAGATGTAGAATGTTTTAATTGTCAAAAAAATATTTTATCTGTAAAATATCTGAATAAAGTCTTAACAGTAATTCTAGTCTGCAATGACTGTCTACTCGCAACCTTTCCAGTAATGTACAGTTTATGTGCTAGTTTTGATGCATGACATCTCTACACTCCGAAGTAACTACCAAGATCATTGGAGTTGGGGTTCACTCTCGCTGCTGCTTGTGCTCAGAGAAGCGACTGTATTTTGGTTCCTGATGACTTGCTCCTGTTGGGGTCCTCTGTAAGCGTCCTTGACCTAACAGGCCTCTGGGATGAGGACCAGTCTGATGTTGTGCATTAGCAATGACAGATGCTATGCCCGTTCTTCACTGTATGTGCTTTTAACACACTGTAGTGCTGGTGAAGAGTGGTCATTTAAGTTTTTAGCAGTGTGCTGGGCCAAGATTTTGGCTCACCTGGCATAAACCGGTTAATAAGGTGACCCAGAAACCTTCAGTCAGCATGGCTTTGCAGAAGAGAGAAATTGTTGCCACAGTGACAAGAGGTTTCATTCTTGCCTGGCGACAGCGGACAATGAGTAACGACACGTCAGACCCCATCGGTTTGAAGTTAGCTTTATTAACATCACGTAACATATCAGTTCAGACGATGCATAATGTGGTACTCTCCCGTTTCCTGCACATGCCACCCTGAGCTCCCTCAGCGTCCACACAAATTTAACGTCATTGCGGGAGCATGCAAACTGAAGTAGTAACTTAGGATCGTTTTCATTACATCAGGGGATAAAATGGTATAAAAACGTACCGAGATTGGTGCAACTTTGTCAATGCAGATTTCACCTTAATCGTCATGTACTGATTTGAGCACAGTGCAAAACTGAAGTTTTAATCTTCAGGGGGTATCGCATATCTCTGGATGCAGTGAACAATTTGCATTCTCAGTCTTATATTTCAACATGAAATTAAATACTTGTATGTTGGGTAACAGAACCTTCAGGGGCACAGGGTAAAACCACCCATTCAAAGGTACAACTTTTAATTAAAATATACATCAATATCAGATATATTTATGGTCCTCCCATCCAACTTGCGCTTTCCCTAAAATAATATAGGAAGTAATATACAGAAATCTTTTCAAATCCACTTTGCCATGTGGAACAAAAGTGCGATTGTTAACCCTGCTGTTATATGCTACTTACAGCTACAGTGCAGATAGCAGACAGAAGAAGCACGTAGACTGCACATAGAAACACGTACAGGACCGCTCTGAGCGTTACCGGGGTGACATACAGAGGCGGGCCTTCTCTGTGGATGTGGGTGGGATCACGTTAGGTGACGGTGTGCGATGGCATTCTCGGAGCAGTAGTGTCACAGTGAAGTGCCGCCCCCCCGCCACGTCCTCCCAGTACTGCCGATGGTCTGGGGTTAAAAGAATGGATGTAGAGAGTGCGGCCATGTTGGTCCTGGTGCTGCCAGACCTGGTGACAGTAAAATGGTGACATGAACCTGCGGCACTTAAATTCATACGTAGGGTATGTTTTTCATACAGGCAGCTCGGTGGCCTGGAGCTTCCAGGGTTGTGAGTTTGAATCCCGCTGTATGTGTGTTGTTTTGCATGTTCTTCCCATGTTTATGTTGCTTTCCTGTCATGGCCCAATTATATGCAGCTTAACTGAATCGTCACCTTAAATGGGTGCTTTCCCACTGTCGCCAAGAACCGAGCCCATACCCGAGTGTAGCCATGCTGACGTTGTCCTGCTAAATAGCAGGTGCCGAAAGCATGACCAAACCGAGCTGGATGAGTCACCACTCTGATTGGTTGAAATGCATGGCTTCAATTTAAAGAAGTAATACATCCAGCCATCCACCGTCCAACCTGCTTATCCTACTGGGTCGCGGGGGGGTCCGGAGCCCATCCCGGAAGCAATGGGCACGAGGCAGGGAACAACCCTGGACAGGGGGCCAGCCCATCGCAGAGAAGTAATACAGAACAGCTGAATAGAATGGATTTGTAATGCAAATTTACGCAAGCAAATGTAAAATCTGTTGCATTTGAGTCTAACATAACATGGCAATTCTCACAGATGTGCTAGAAAATTAGATTAGCACACATTAAATCTTGATGTACACCGTTTGAACAGTAAATAAGCACTTCATTTAACGTCACTGTTGCTCTCCAAACTCGGCAACACCTTTACCGTTTCCATTTTGTATGTGTCTTTGCCTTGTAATGAACTGACCTCCCCGCTGGGGGGGCGCATTATGGATCCTGGGACAGGCTCGAAGCTCAATGTGACCTTTTATTTAATTGGTTATGGAAGATGGATGGTATGTATGGTACAGGCTAAATGTGATATTCCATATGGCTACAGGTATCAGCCAGTATTTGCATTAAACCTGTTTCCATGCACACGGTCCTGGGATGAGTTAGCATTAGCTGTGGGCTGGGATGAGTTAGCACTAGATGTGGGCCAGAATGAATTAGTCTTAGCTGTGGCCCAGGATGAGTTAGCATTAGCTGCAGGGCGAGATGACTTAGTGTAAGCCACGGGCTGGGATGAGTTAACATGAGCTGCAGGCTAGAATTGATTAACGTTAACCATAAACTGGGATGAGTTAGCATTAGCCTAAGGCCCATTAACAGCTCAGGGGCACAGTTCCACACTTACCTTCATGGATCAAGACTGCTCCTCAGCACTGCCACTGAAGGATCGGCTCCGGATGTGGTTCCTCAGCTGCTCGATCAGCTCAGGGTTCTGCTGCTGGATCTGCTGAGCAAACTGCTGACCACTGAAAGCAATGGCACACTTTGCGTAAGCCCTATTCTGTCAAGGTCTCCGTGATCTGTAACTCCTGCCCCCCCTACTGTAGTACTCACGCTTCAATGAGGCTGGAAATGTCTGACATGCCACCCACCCCAGCAGCTGGCCCCCCCACCGCATTGGACATCATCCCTGACATGCTGTTCATGGAAAAGAATGACAGTCAGTAAAAGGCCCTTAGTCTCCCATGAAAATACAATCATCACACTTCAACATCACTAGACAAAAAGACAAAATTACACTATATGGACAAAAGTACTGGGACACCTGGCCATTTCACTTAAAGGAAATTTTATGACGTCCCATTCTAAATCCAATAGGAGTTAGTCGCCCCATTGCAGCTATAACCACTGCCACTCTTCTGGGAAAATGTTCAAGATTTTGCCCATTCATCCAGTAGAGCATTTGTGAGGTCAGGCACTGATATTGGACGGCTGCCAATCTCCAATCTAGTTCATCCCAAGGGTATTTGTTGGGGTTGAGGTCAGGGCTCTGTGTAGGCCAGTCAAGTTCTTCCACACCAAAATCACCTAACCATGTCTTTATGGACCTTACTTTGTGCACTGGGGCACAGTCATGATGGAGCAGAAAAGGGCCTTCCCCAAACCGTTCCAACAAAGTTGGATGCATAGAATTCTCAAGTAGAAGTCTCAGTATGCTGAAGCATTGAGAGTTACCTTCACTAGAACTAAGGGGCCTAGCCCAACCCCTGTAAAATAACCCCAAACCATTATCCCTCCTCCACCAAACTACATTTGGCACAATGCAGTCAGTCAGGTAATGTTCTCCTGGCATCTGCCAAACCCAGACTCGTCCATCAGACTGCCAGACAGAGAAGCATGATTCGCCACACCACAGAACACGTTTCCACTGCTCCAGAGTCCAGAGGCAGCATGCTTTACACCACTGCATCTGACACTTGCCATTGCGTTTGGTGATGTGAGGCTTGCATCTCAGCCATAGAAGCCTATTCCATGAAGCTCCGGGTGCACAGTTTTTGTGTTGGGGTTAATGCCAGAGGAAGTTCGGACATCTGCAGCTATTGAATGAACAGAGCTTTGGCGACTTTTATGTCAGCACTTGGTGATCCTGCTCTGTTACTTTATGTGGTTTGTCACTTAATGAGGCTGAGTTTTTGTTGTTCCTAAACGCTTCCACTTTGAAAGAACATGACCTACAGTTGACCATGGAATATCTAGCAGGGAAGAAATTTCATGAATTGAAAAGGTGGCATCCTATGACAGTACCAGACTTGAATTCACTGAGCTCTTTAGAACGACCCATTCTTTACAAATGTTGGTAGACGTGACTGTGTTTGATTTCATATACCTGTATCAATGGATCTGAATGAAACACCTGAATTCAATGATAAAGAGGTGTGTCCCAATACTTTTGTCCATATACTGTAGGTTAAAGCTACGAATGACTGCCGATGTGCGCAGACTCCCACAGCTTAACCAGAATCTGAATCAGGTTTATTGGCCAAGTGTGTGTGTGGCTCACACAAGGAATTTGTTAACAGCGTTTATTCCGCTTCGAGATGCGCAGTCGTGCTGCTAGAAGGCTGCATACTTACAGCTGCTGCACCTGCTGGTTCTGCATCACGCTGGCGGCCTAAAAACAAGGAGGGGAAATATCGGCTGGATAACATTCTGAGCCGGAACTGTGAATGAGCAACCAAAAAAACAGCGCAGGCTAACAAGACATGCAGCTACTTCAAACCAGACTGTCATGCATATTGTCCTGCTTGTGCAAAGCTTGCATTTCCAGCAGCACCCAAGAGAGGGGGATAACACCAGGCAAACCCGAGCGTTTCCTGTTAGCTTTTCTGACTGCCGCACCAGCTATTCCAGGCTGGATTCCACACTAGCTCAGCCAGTCAAAAGGTCAGTTTGGAGTGTATTCCTGAGCAAAACCATAAACAAAGTATGGTAACAAGGCATTTAGGAACAGGTGATTAGCCTGGCTGCCTGGGACTCACCATGCTGATAAAGGCAGGGTTATTGATGAGACTGGCCATGTCGAAACCCAGTCCAGTGGCAGTCTGGAGAGTCACATTAGAAATGCACAGATTATGCACCATCCCATGGTGGTATTTACCACCTGTACAATGATTCTATGTCACAGAGAAATGCTAATAAATGTGGACATTTGCTGGACCCGTTGACACATTACCCCCATCCCCCCTAAGAGTGCATTTTCAAGAATTTGATAATTTGATAATTTAATTGATAAATTAATACATTTTAAATGCATTAGTGGTACAGTTGCCCCCCCCCCACAACCATCAATCTTTTGACTACTTATCATGAAGGGGCCTTGAGTCTATCCTACACAGAGTAGGGCATGAGGTTGATGCCCATCCATCCCAGGACACATACACACAGGCTAAGGACAATTTAGAGATGCCTAATAGCTCGCTGCAAGTCTTTGGGCTGTTGGGCGCGGGGGCGGGAGACTCAAACAGAACCCCCCTTTGAGCCATGCTACCTCCCTGTCCATTTTGTGATGCATTTATTAATAGCTTCAATCCAGTCTCTTACATTGCAGTATCTGTGATTATATCCATAGTGCCCAAATCCCCCACTACTATGTAGGATTTCCTAACCCGCTGACACCAGACGGGGGTGATGTTTTAGGCCTCTGTGCCTATGATTGGAAGGTTTGAATCCTATGGTCAGCAAGGTAGCCACATCTCCATTGAACAAGGCCATTAACCCCAAAAAATGCTACAGAGAGCATGATAAATGACCTCAAGCTTGGCTCACACCTGTTCACACGTGAGTCTCTGTCTCAACGTGACACATGTGAAAACTGAAGCATTCCTCTGCACTGGTACAAATGGCAGCTAAAGCATCATTTCACGTGACGTCACCCCACTTACAGGGCTGGAGGCCTCCTTCTGCTTCTGCTCTGCGATCTTCAGGTTGGACTTGTAGGTGTCATTCTCCGGGTCCAGCATGAGAGCCTTCTTGAAGTATTCGATGGCTTCTGGGTACTTATGCTTGGCAGTCAGGGCCAGCCTGGAGCACCGAGAGGGTCACGCTGAAGCGTTTTTCACCCAGGCCCAGCCCACTCATCTGAATCACATTAATTAAGCAATCCGCCAACGTTTAACTTATGTAACATTCAGTCTTCTTAGTGGGAGAAAACGAGAGGTCTTGGTTCGGCGCCATCCACTGGTGGGTGGATTTCTGCGGCGTTAATGTGTCTACAAGGCCACATAAATTGCTCTGATTTATTGTAGTGCCGTTCATTCACATGCTAATTCCCCTATCCTACACAGACAAGCTCCTTGTTAATCACGAGGCCTGTCCACACCTATCTCCCGGGGCTGGATTTGTTATTGATCTCATGAGATTTTTTTTGGCATCATTAGATAAATAAAAAAATGAAATCTATACAGTAGCTCTAGTCTGGGGGCAAGCAGCGGCACTTCTATGCTGCTGAATAGTAATTGTTCTATGAATTAGATTTTATATTTCCTATTACCTCTTACATCTCAGTAGCAGACAAGCACCCTGGTCATGGGGCTAAAATAAACTTGTCCAATTTTTGAAATGATTTAATTCATATAAACAAATTAATCACTGAGACGGCTGCCTGATATCATAAGTCTCCATTACTCTGGCTTTCCGGCCACCCGATAGTGACAGCTGTCTGGAAACCCGAGAGAACAGACTCTCCTGCCAAACTGAGGGTTCCCTTTCCAAAGCTGTCAAGTGCATTTTAACACAATGTCAAAAACCAAACGATGAGAAACTCATGCGCCGACTCAGCAAACCGTTGTGAGTCATCGCCTGTGTCAGGGCTTCCCGATGCCCAAATGGAAACAGGTAGAGCTAGGGACCGCTAATGCGTATGAGAATTGGACATTTTCACAAAGATTTTACGATATTTTACTGCAGACTGTTACTGCTCATGGAAGTCCCGGGCTGAAAACCTGCTTGTGCTCCTATGACTCAACGCAAAGGTTATGGGTTCAAATCCCAAGGAGCATATGTAAATTTAAACCCTTCTCTCTACAACTCGCTTTGGTAAACGTAAAATCCCTGCTGTAGATAATGGTACGGTCTTAATTTCAGCAATACCAACTAATGACGAAAAACAAGAGAAATGTGTCTGTTGCTAGGTTGAGTATTCAGAGTGGAAGTCATCCTTCCATTTGTCCATTTTCAGGAAGCCCTTATTCAGTCAGGCTTCTGCCTCCCCACCTTCCCAGAGTCAGGGGTGACTCACCCCATGCGTCCGTAGGCTTTGCTGTAGGCAGGGTCGATCCTAATTGCTCTCTCGCAATCAACAGTGGCCTCTGTGTAGTTTCCCAGCTTGCTGTGCGCGGCGGCCCTGCAGAGATTACAAAGCAGCGGCATGCATGAGGCCGCAAGGCCCCAGCGCATCAGCGGGCTCCAAGAGGGGCCCTCAGCTCCGCCGTTGCCGCACTCCCACACCTGTTACAGTAGTACACAGCATTCCTCAGGTCCAGGTCGATGGCCTTTGTGTAACATTCCACCGCCGAGGCGTAGTTCTCCTCCTTCATGTGGTTGTTTCCTAAAACGCATGGTCAAGTCAGCAAGACGCATGACACCTAGGGCATCACCGCTGGTCGCAACAGTAACAATGGTGTTCTCCTCACTGTAAACCTGACGTCTGTAAGGGAAGTCATGTGAATCTATTTCATCTTTTCATAAGTTGCTTCTTGATGGTTTATTCAAAATATTACTCTCAAAAAAACTGTCTTCAAGAACTGCAAATACCTTCATTTTTCAGTTGCTCTGCCCTCTCTGTGTCTTCTGGCGATGGAGAAATATCAGGTATGGACACATTGTCATTCTAAAAAGAATATAGAGTAATGACTGTACAGGCAGTCGCTACACTGAAGCTCATACATACAGTACACTGTGTATAATCGTGTATTTCAACACATACTGATGAAAATCAGGATGTGGCCACGTCAGCAAGCATGCTAGTGCTAAATGAAGGCTCACTGAGACACAGGCAGAGTTAAGGCTAAGCTAAGGCTCACTCAGACAGAGGCAGAGCTAAAGCTAAGGCTCACTCAGACAGAGGCAGAGCTAAAGCTAAGGCTCACTCAGACAGAGGTAGAGCTAAGGTTAAACTATGGTAGATATAATCAGAAGCAAGGCAACATGAAATCAGTCCTCCACCATGTAGATGGAGTTGCTGAAGATCTCCGTGAGAGGCTGGGGCACTGCCAGGTTGCTGTCACTGGAGCTGATCTTGAACGTGGTCTCCAGGCACTGTATTGCAACTGAAGGAACATGGAACAGGACAGCTTTCTGAATCTGCCATCCAATCAATCTGTGTCCAGTAACAACAACTAAATGCAATATTGCTTGGCAAAACAAATGAAGACACATTAACATATTTTTTTGGAAGCCTACAATGTAAACAAAAATGGTGCTAATATTAAAATTCATATTGCTCAAGTTACACAAAGGTTCTGTTGATATATTATTCTGCTACTGAGCACCTCTTCCTTCACGAACAATAAAGCAACTTCTTAGTTTAAACCAGGTTCCAGCTGGATTTACCCTCAAGGCTCTCCTGCTCGTCCGAATTCAACGTCCCGCGGTGTGTCTGATCGCGGAGAAACTGCACGATGGAAAACGCCAGTCGCCTCTCCACTGACATCTTCAGCAGACTCCTGCCGCACAGACACAGGCCCACATGTGTGTGGACAAGCCGCCGGAATAACACTCAAAGGTCAATGTGAGATGGCGACTTACCTGAAATGGCACAGCAATGTCTGCTGAGAGGAGAACAGAGAGACAATTATACATGTCAAAGGACAAAACAGGATGTTGGTGTTTTCCAGATTCTGCAGCTAAACTCCTTTTGTCAGTTTGGTAAAATGGCATATACCTTATTAAAATAATAGATTCAGGTAATTTAATTACTAGCTAAAATGTTTAGTATATTTCTGTTATGACAGATATTGTACAGACAATTAGTATATTATTAAGTTGACATTTGTACTAGTAGTACGGATTGACCTCGTCAAATGAACATGACACTGAATATGTTTAGAACCACTGTAGGTTTAAATTAACCAACCATGATACAATATTCCTGTTATAGAAAAATTTACTAATTATCAGATTTTAACTATATAAACACATGCAAACTGAAACTTCAGCAGAAATGTCAGCAATGGTAGGTCAAACAAATGTAAATCTGCTCACAAATGAAGTACAATCATATCATAAAAAAGACAGTCTTTTTAAAACTTTAGCCATCTATCGATTCACCAGCACCCATGGCGTGATACTTTAGAGGGTCACTTGCAGAGCTCGCCCAAAGGCATCTGCAATGACGTCAGCCAGCCTCCCAGCCTAAAGCTGCCAACTCCGAGCTGCTCGGAACTTGGCCATAGGCCGGATAGTGTAATAAAGGGAGCTACTTCAACTCAACTTTGCGTATTCCATGCACTGCTTCAATGTATTTTGGTACTGTTTTTGCAGAACATTGGTGCTTATGTGTTTCAGCAAAGCAAGCAAACAAACAAACACATAGACGGGACAATGAAATGTCTTTAAACATTGTCACAAACAAATAAATTATAGAATTTTTTTCTTTTTGGGGTAATTGAGTTGATGGAATAACATTTTCTGTTAAGTCAACTGATTCTGTGAAGCTGCTCAACTACGTTCTTTTTCCTTTAAAGGAGGGGAAGTACTGCAGGCAAGGTTCTAAAGCGAATGGGAAAGAGTGCGGAACTTGCCTCTGATAATTAAATACCTCATTTTAAGTTAAAAAGTTCTGCCTTAAATTTACCACAAGTTACTCCCCATATTCAATTCAATTCATTTTTATATAGCACCTTTCACAACAGAGTAGCCACAAGGGCATGAGGTTAGAGGATGAACATGAGGGTTTTAAAGTACAACCTGAGACACAAGTATTTGTTTGACTTGTTCTGAGTCTTTCCATGCCTTACACTCAACTCCTAATCAAGTACGCATCAGCAAACTAATGGGCAAAGAAAAGTCATCCCTAAAAGGGAAAATTCGGAGACTACAATCATTCCGATTCTATCTTTGTAAGCCGCCCACCCCAGCACTTTTTTTTCTCTGATTTTATCCTCCATCCAAGGCAATAGATAGAAATAAAAAGAGATTCACTACGACACTTTCTGTCACATGGTTATTGTGCTGACTGCACAAACTAAGTGTTCCAGAGTGGTGCTGAAAGCCAGGACTGGAGTGAGGCTGGAGTGTCTCCAATGAGGTTCCAGCAGAGGAGAGGACGGGCCTTACCACATAAGGATATCGAAGCCATAAGGCTTCGTGCACCATGATCAAGCACCCCTTTCCTTACATGCAGTACTTGCTGGATGTCACAGTGGACACTGTGGAACAAGCCAGACAAGAAGCTCCCCTTCGTTAGCCCTACACACTTTGTTGAGGTTCTGCTAGCGGAGAACCACAGTGCTTGTTCTAGTACAGGGAGAAGGCCAGGGCCCATCTAGGGCCAGGTTTGCTGTCTCCCCCCCCCCCAAATATTTCAAAAACTAAATAAATAGCGAGTGAGTCAGATGATCGTAGCTAGCTAGCTGGTTAGCAAAACATGCTGCTTCAGCATCTCCTAAATTAGGAATGCCTTTATTTAATATTTAGTGTAGTGACTGTATGGTAACATATGTATGGTTTGAATGGTGGTAAAAACCACCACTGCATTTTGATAAGAAGCCCCCCCCCCCCTTAGCTACAGTTGGGGGGAGGGTGGATATAATGACCCTTCTTTTTCCCTTTGGAAACTTCCCCTTAGAGCAGTCATGGGACGGCACCCTCCATCATGCAATCAACCAGGTAATAAAACTAGACTGGCAGTGTCTAAAAAATGAATAACCATCCCTCTCTTTGCAACAGTTCTGTTCCCTCCCAGCTCCCTGCCAGACATTCCACATTGATGCTCAACAAAAACATGGCCTGTCTGGGGGTCCCCGAGGGCCGGTTCGAGAAACACTGCATTAACTTGCCATATGTGTCATTATTCATTAGGGGTGAGTATTGGCAAGGACCTCACGATACATGACTCGCGATACGATTAAATCACGATATATATTGTGATGCTATACATATTGCGATATATTGCAATATTCTACAGTTCACTGAAGAAAAAATAAAATAGAGCTGAAATGCAAGTTGCTGTGTATGATCTGGGTGTTCTTAATGAATCACATTACATTAATAATTCAGCCAAAACAACATAACTCAATTGAATTCTAACTACACTGTCTTTGCATTTTAACACACTGAACTAGTGGACACCAAAAACATTAAGATAAAGTGCATAAGAATGAAAATAAGAAATTAAAGTGCCCAGTCAGTTATCTTAGGCTGGTGTGTTGCTTGTAGAGGACTGAGCATATTAACTGTTCTTATAATGAAAATAAAACAGTAAGAATAGAGCTGGGCGGTATGACCAAAAATTTATATCACGGTATTTTTCAAAGTTATATCAGTTTCACAGTATACGACTGTATTTTTATAAAAAGTATGACTGGGCGTTTACCTCATTTTACAAGATTTTATAGAACACATTTTTGTTTTTGCATTGTTCCCACATTAACTATATTACTTTATTAGCCATTGCGCCTATCCGCTACCTTAATGATAACATCAGGCTAACATGTTTGCTGGCTAACTGCTTATAGATAAATGGCTAATGTTAAGGTGTGCGCCGGCCAAGTTAACATTTTTGATAAGTGTTTAATAGCTCAGTGTTGCTGGAACGCGAGCTTTACTGACCTCGCGAAATTTCTTATAAAGACCGGGATGTCGGTCTTTAAGATGCTTCACCAGGTTCAACGTGCTACTTGACTTCGTCGCCACATCTTTGTAGCACTGTTTGCTTAGAGGCTTATTGACATCCTTAGCCTTTCCATGCTCCTCTGCACAATAATTCCAAATGGCACATTTTTATTTTATTTTTTAATAAAGCAGCTTGCGAAGTGCCTTCAACTGCAGAATATGCCATGATCGGCCAACTCGGTATGTGTATGTTAACCAGCGCGAGCGCGTTCAGCGGTTATTGAGGCAGGGAGGGGCTGCGCAAGTGTGTGCGTGCGTACACGCGCCTGCGTTGTAGTGGTGCTGTGTGAAGTATGGCGAATGAGGCGAAAACTGTACTGCTGGTATCAATAATGGTGAAAATGAGTATCTAATCAGATACTTATTTTTAATATCGATTAGTATCTGAGAATCAATTTTTTTTGATAACTCCAGTGTCAGCTATATCTTGCGTTTCTGATCTTTCACTGCACATTTTTAGCGGTGCAGAAGTGAAAAAGGTCCCATTTTCAACAAAACATGGGAAATCAGTTGTCAATCCTCATTAATGTGGTGCGAGGTGATTGTAACGTAAGATTCAGAGGCTCCAGCAATCGCACGTAAGTGCCACTCGTGCTGCAGAAAGAAGAGATGTTTTTACAACTCGCGTTATCTCCTCGTACACCCTGGGCACAGCTACCTCCGTAATGTTTTCGCGTTGGGATCACATTAGCGTGGCTTCAGCGTGTCTGGTTGTATTTTGCATGATACTCCCCCTCGGAAATATTGGAATCAATATAGTATATCATGAAAGGAAATATCGGGATATATTGATGTATCGATTTTTTTTGCACATCCCTATTATTCATCAACAGCATTCCAGCGATTTCTAGTTAATCGCACGCCCATTGCAACAGAGACATAGTGCCCCCCCCTTATAATGAAGATAACCTTTAACCGTCAACTTCGACTGGATCTCTTCAAGGTTATTAGACCAGAGTCTGCAAGGGCGTCTATTTGTGTTTGTCATTGTCACTCACACCCAACCAGAAACCAAGCTCAACATTTCAGCTTAAACTATTGCAGACACCCTTTCTTATACATTAATTTTCAAACTGTATCTGAAAAGCACAATTTTACACATTAAAAACTGTATAATATTTATATATAGTGTATAAAAGTATCTGCATCAGTGTTTTCTATCTACAGACCAGGTCTGACAAAAAGATGAGGAAAATACCCTCTAAATATTTTGACGCTGGCTGTTTCAGAACCTATCATCCAATCATATTCTTCCTCCATGATGCTTAGCAACATAGATCAGTTGAGTTGAGTTCAGTACAGCAGAAGCTGGTCTATGCATATTCCCTTCCTTTCAGTCACATGGATCTGAGACTCGTGATCAGATTCTGGCAATACAGGCTGCTAGAACACAGGAGTAAAACTGATGCATTATCTGACATCCTGTATTGATGAGCTGCTGGATTGATTAGGTAGAATTTGCTTTTAAGGTAATTAGCAGATTATCTTATCTCCAAATCCAAAAAAGAGGTACTTTCCACTCTGTTTGCATCACACCAGTCTTTCCACTCTCCCTTCCAGTTGACGTGAGGCTACGGCCACACCGCAGTGTTCGATGGACTCCCCTGACCTCATTACGGCCATGATGTGGCTTATCTCAGTGATGCTAATTCAGTAATGATTGACTGTACCATTTCCTATATCTGAGAGCTTTTCCTGAAACTGCTGCCATGAGCTAACCGCAGAAAGTGGATTACTGGGTGGGGTGAAGCTCAAAATCCGGGGTTCGTTCTGGGCGACTCGCAGGCAAATCTTAGATCAGTACGAGAGCAGCAATTGCTGACAGGCCCCATAAGTAGGTGAGATCATTTCTATTGCTGGCCAGTTACTACTGGAGATTCAGGATTTTGTAATCCCTGACTATCTCCCCTGCTGTTCTCAAACTGAATAGGGAGAGGAGGGAGTCATACAGTAGAGAATCTATTCAATTCTTCATCAGTAATCTGAATACAACCCCAATGTGTTAAAGAAGCAGTCCTCACCTGCTTGCAGTATGAAACTTAACGGATTTTGCTTGTACACCATGCTCACACATCAGATTCATATGACTTTAAGGCCCATTGAAGACCATATATTCAACAGTCGGCTATTAAATACTCTTGTTGAATAGTGTTGTGCATTTGCACATTTTGTTCATGCCCTATAGTCAGTGCTTGTCTATGAGCTATTTTCATTTATTGTAAATTCATTTATCAATGGGCCTCAACTACACAAAAAAGCTGTGACAGATTATTTTTCAACATGTCATTTCAGAGAATGTGGAACCCCAAGCTTTCTAAATGCAAAACCAGCCCCGACGGTCCAAATCATCATTTTTCAAAATTCAAATACATCATGGACCAGATAGACAACTAATTCACATGAATGCATATGGAAGGGTTAACGTACATTAAATTCATGATAGATATTGATCTCAAGCACCAAATTTACCTCTCTTGTGCTATTCACAAACTGAACAGTATCAAATGTTAAGGGTACCGCTGCTGTTATCCGACTTAACGTTATACAATTGATACTTTTACAAAAAGTACTATAACTATGTAATACAGTAATAACTATAACTACAGTAAACCATAATAATAAACTATACACGTCACAAAATAGAAATCTATATAAAACATCGAGAAGACTTCATGATCGAATTAAATCTGCGTTTTTGTTACAGATGAATCTCCTGTCACAGTTGACATGAGGAATTGTGTGAGGAAAGAGACGGTTTGCAATGATGCTTGGAGAACCAGTGATATTGACACGCACCTCGCTGGTGCCCAGTTAAACAACACCCCCCCCCCCCCCCCCCCATGATCCATGATGTCATCTCGGCAAAAATCACCAAAGCTTAAAAAAGAGGATCCACGCCAAATGCAATTGTTACAATAAACGCGTATAATCTTCCTCTGCACATGCACGGTAATGCGAAGCACGCACATTCACGTAACTCGCATTAAAGGTGTCCGTAACGATTCTCGGCTACTACCTAGTCTTGCACAGTCCACCCAAGCATGGCCGTAAGTCTTTCACGCCGATGGTAAAAACATGCTCGAAAACGAACTTTACCTGTCATTCTCCGATCCTCCAAGCATCATTTCGTATGTCGGCTATGCATTTGCGCCTAAGGATGCTCTTACCGCCCCCACCTGAGAAAAACCTCCAGCGGTCCCAACGACGCAGTCATGCGAGCTCTTGCAGACCCAGCTCCCCGCGCATGCGCACTACCGCAGGAAGTGGATCGGCTGGATACTCGGCCGCGGCTGTCAAGTCGAGCGCGGGCGCGGACTGGGATTCTGCGGCGCGCATGTTCCTTGTGCGGCATGCATCGTTTTCGCTGTATACTTCACTGTCGAGCCGTTTGCAGGTATTTTTACGGATGTGTTTCACTGCGCGCTTTTTCCCATGTGATCTGTGTCCGATGCCATATATGTGAGTGAAGTACTAAAATTAACCAGCGAAATGAAACATGCCTGACGGTGTTTACAGACATCTTTCATAAAACTAGGTAACTGTGGGAGCACGCCAAATGAAAATAACTTCAGTGCTGCTTTTTTTTTTTTTAAAGCATTGGATAGATTGACACTTGCTTGCAACTGATAGGTCTTTACAAACATACTCATTAAAACGGCTATAAAATTTCATACTGATCAAATTATATCAAGTATATCAAAAAACCTCTTTTGATAGTTGCACACTCATGGAAAAAACAGCTGTGTAGTTTGGGGGGCGGGGGCAGTGTACAGTTGATAAGGCTTCAGTAGGTTGAGTTTCAAGACTCCGGCTATAACCTTGAAGAATTTAATTCTTGTTTATGCAAGAAATAAATATGTGTTCGAAATGTGAGGTAAGAACCATTACACTAATCGATTTGTGGGTTTTGAATGATTTACCAAAAAAGGAATGATAGAATAAATAAATTATGAATAATAAGCGCAGTTAATTTTATAGTTTAAAGTATGCTGCTTGGTTAATCTGCATGTCTTACATAGATTTCAAAATGCTTCTTTTGTGAACTTTAATTGCTAAACATGGATTCTTTCAAAACGTGAAACACGGTCTCTACTGCTTGTCAGTGCCAACTGAAATAGATACAGTTCCCTGTCAGGCCTCGTTAATCTCGCGAATTATGTAACATACAAACACCGATAAGAGGAGCTCTAAATAATGCCGAGAAACTGGATTCGTACGTACGTCTTATTATGTATAGCCACAGTTGCATGTTTTAAGTTATTTTTAATAACCTAAATATAAATATGGAATCCAAATTCACTGGTGCCATGCCAAGTTTTCTGTTTTTGTGATTATTTAAATATGTTCCATGTAATATATCTGATACAATACATTGGAAATCAATTACTAAGTATTCCATTTAAGATATTCTTTAGCATCGAACAGCTAAAAAACACATAGATTATGCATATTAAACCTACATTAAAGCTGATGTTCACCATTCCAGTATTTTTTCATACTGTATAATACCTATCCAGTGAAAGTTTGATTAAAGCAGGGTCGCTCTTACTGGGGAGAATTTCAAAAATGTATAGATTATCAGCATTGTAAATGCCACTGATTTAAAATTAATTTATATCTATGCATAAAGTAGCAGCACATGTTTGTTAGTTTTCTAAGCTTTTCCCAGCAGGCGTTTCAGCCATCAATCTGGTGTAGCCATGCCGCTGGATTACGGCACGGAGGATGTGTCATCCGTGACAGGGCCCTGTCAATGCCAGCAGTCAGAAAGCTGCTGGGCGGCCATCTTAGAGGCTCTCGCTTCTGCTTAAAGGGGGATTGTGTCAGTAGGCTGCTGTCAGGTGGAGCTCAGTGTTCCACACACCTCATTGAGCTACCTTAGCATGCTGTTTTATATTTAGTGATCAAGGATAAGTGGCTAGAGAATTTATATTCAGTTGTAAGGTCATAATGGATATCGATCTCGATGGCATGTTGTGAAGTGCACCACAGGCTGTAAACGAGTGAGTTTACAAGATTAGTGTTTGCATAGATTGTAGTGCTTCTTAGGAGTCACATTTCACAGGCATTTTGCTTAATACTTTACTGGCACATTGCTGGAGTGCTCAGAATATCTCCTCACACTCGAATTCTCACCCGTAATAGAGGCGGCTATGAATCACTGTCCTTATACCCGATTCGAATTTCAGAGGCTTTCCTGCTAGACCGCAATTGAGGATGACCCTTCAGGACAGGCCTGTGGCGTCCGTTCCGGATCGCTTCCTGTCTACTCATGGGCAGAATGAACTGCGGTGGGACCTTATGCCTGACCAGATTAAATGCAAAACAGACAAGCTGATCCAGAAAATCACACAGATGTATGACAACGTGGGTGCACTGGACCCAGATGAGGTGTCTTTCGAAAATACCTTAAAGGCCTTGGCTGATGCCAAGATGGAATATGCAGGTAAGTGATACTTTATCAGTCCCCATGGAGAAATTCACTCTCACCTCTTTGCCAACCCCATCTTCTTCTTCATGAGACACATACTGTACAGGTGAGAGCAAGCTTTGGAGTGACAGTTCAGGGTCATCCAGCATGCAACGTCCCTGGAGCTGGGGGTTAAGGCCCTTGATCAAGGGCCCACAGACATGTGACTATTCTGCCAAGGCCAGGGCTCAGATTGGCACCCTTACAATCAGAGGCTTAGCCCGCTGAGCCACATGCCACCCTTATATAGATCATGTAATTGAGAAGATGTTTCTACTTGCCATTTGTGCCTTTTTGCATATCCTATCCCATAGTTCTTTGAGACATACACCCACATAGAGGTGAGACTAAAGCTTAGAGTAAGAGCACAGGTTTAGCCATTTACCCAGTGCCTCTGAACCATTTTGGGGGGGCTTAACCCACTGAGCCAAACACCACCTCCCAAGGAAGCCAGCGAGTCAGTAATACCAGCCCAGTGCTTGCCATGCTTCGATGTCACCATCCTGTTTTATACCCACGATGCTTTGCAGCTTTCAGGCACATCCTGGATTTCCCCCAGTATGTCTCGCCGTGCCGGGAAGTGCGTCACGCCAGCACGGAGGCAGACAGGAAGCTGTCTGACTTTGACGTGGAGCTGAGCATGAGGGAGGACATCTTCCAGAGGGTCCTCGCTTTGCAGGTATGGGGGGGGGGGGGGTGGCAGTTTCATTTGACGTCTATTAAGTCGCCATTACGTTATAAGGCTTCATTTTGCACTTCAGCTCATGCATTCATTGCATTATTAATTTGACAAATCCCATTCAAAATGAGTGGTAGATCAACTGGTATCCCAGTCCCCCAAGTAACATCAAGTAACTACTGTAATAATCACTCTGCAAGCTGCTTGCTTACTGTAATAATTACAAAGGCAGCTTGAGAAGGGCCAGTTATGTAAGCAGTACAATGAAGTTACTGTTCTGTGGTCTGCTGTGTCCTCTGTCTGCTTACAGGCTACCAGCCATTGATTTCACTGAACAATAGAGTAAACACTGCTTTTGTATTGCGTCGTTAAGGGGGGGAAAAAACTTGCATTTTTAATTTCAGAAACTTTTAAATGTTTAAAATGTTAAAAGCTTTTCCGGGCCTGAATTTACAGTGAATTTGCGTTGGTGGTCTTTAGCTTGTATTGTCATGTAATGCAATACAGCATTTAGAAAATTTACAGGCACTGCTTCTCCCCCATTTCCTCTGCTGCCTGCACTTCTGGATCCTTTAGTGCAGCCCCCTTTTATTGAACAACACACCGTAATTTCGAGTGCTTTCCAGGGTATTTACTGCCCTTATAATTGAGTTGTCATCAGGGGCATGTCTCTGCTTCGCTGAGAGGGCACAGATAAAGCCTTCAGTGTCACTCTGGGACCCTCAGGCAGTTTGGGTGGCTTCTGCGGCCACGGGGCCGGAACATTAAGCTGGCAGGCATTAAGCTTGGACAGCTATCCGGGGGCTTGCAACGTGACACATTCACGATTTACCCCACGCAATTTTATAATGAATCCTTTCACATGCTGTTACACTTAAGAGAATGGTGATATATATCTGAAAAACTTTAGTAAACAGCTTCGATCTGTTTCAACAGAGGCATTTAGATGCTGGCTTTTATGCTCTCAATCACTTTGGGTAGCAGAGATCTGAAAGGGGAAGCTGGGATTGGCGAGGGCTCCGTTCCTCATGTGAGTCGATTGATGCAAAGTGCTTGTGTCAGGCCACGGACTCTCACGCCTCCTGGCGCGTCTTCCGTAGAGTAAGCAGCCTGATCTGAAATCCGAGGCCAAGAGATTCATGGAGAGGCTTGTCCGGCTGGGGAGGCGAAACGGACTGCATCTCTCCAAGGATGTGCAGGAGGTACCGTGAGATGGCCCGTCTGTGCTAAGCGGTGCGTGACATAATTGGCTGGGATTGTCTAGCGTCTCTAAATTTCCACAAACGTTCGGTAATCTTCTGCCGGCTTGTGCGTCTAGCATCAGTAACCGCTAATCAGTGAGACACCAATCCAGACTCTATCCTGGAAAAAGTAGGGCATTTAGGAGGCTCCAATCCAAAGCCCTCACACACTAAGGATTGTGGGAGAACAGGGAGAACATCCAAACCATACTAAGGCTGAGCTGGGCTGGAGCTGATGTGATACTAGTATACTCAGATCTCTTTGCCATCACATAGTTTATAATAACAAAAAATTCAGACTAGCATTCTTAAAAACCATCCAGTGCTCTTTGTGGACATTTCAATCAATCAATCAGTAAATCAGTTTTATTTTATATAATAAATTTCCACAATATTACATTGACTCAAAGAGCTTTACATTGCCCCTGCTCAAAGCCCCCAGTGAGCAAGCCAATGGCAAGGAAAAACTCCCTAGTAGGAACCAGACTCAAAGGGGGAGCCCATCCTCCAAGGGCCAGCAGAGGAAGTTAAATGAGCAGGATGGCATTTCCTTGTATCATTCAGGAGATTAAATCCACCCTCAAGCTGATCAGCAAGCTTTGCATAGATTTCAACAAGAACCTGAACGAGGACGACACTCACCTGCTCTTCACCGTGGACGAGCTAGGTAGGCATGTGAGCGTTCGTGTGGCGGTAAGAGCGGTGTGACCTCGTCATGGCCGATGCCACCTTTCCCTCGGTAAGGCGGCATGGCGGACAGCTACATAAAGGGCCTGGAGCGCATGGAGGACGGTCGCTTCAGGGTGACGCTGAAGTACCCCCATTACTTCCCGCTCATGAAGAGGTGCCACGTCCAGGAGACCCGGCGGAGGATGGAGACCGCCTTCCACAGCCGCTGTAAAGAGGTGCGCTGGCGGCCTGCTGGGACGCGGCATGTTTCATCGCATACGTTTTGGGAACGCAGTGAACGTCTTACGCCACAAACAGCAGTGCAATACAATGTGCAATATAAGGGATCAGATAAAGTAATGTGATGTGGGATTAGGAAGCTATACAGGATGTGCAAATTAACCATGACAAAATAGTGTTCAGAAAGTGAAGAGAGTACAGTGTATGGCTCAGTGGGTCGGGTACCTGTGATTGGAAGGTCAACACCCCAGGGTTGGCAGAGTGATGTCACTATTGGGCTCTTGAGTAAGGTCCTTAACCCCAGATTGCTCCAGAAGCAGGGTGACCCTCCTTTCTGCTGAATCAGGGGTGGGGAAGCTGTTCCACAGAGGGCCGGTGTGGGTGCAGGTTTTTAGGATGACCTCTCAATCAGCCACACCCACACTGGCTCTCCATGGGTCAGATTCCCCATCCCTGTGCTAAATAAATAAAAATGTACATTAATGATGCTTTATTTCCACTGGTGCACTGGAATGCTTATTTTTACATAGTGGGATATGTAAAAATAAGCATTCCAGTGCACCAGTGGAAATTGCTCTTCTTTTTTAAGACATACAGTCACATACAGCTGAGAGTGAAGCTTGGGGTCTGAGCACAGACGTCCCTGGAGAATTTTACGGGGGGTGAAGGGCCTTACTTAAGGGTGCAATGGCCATGTGTCTTTTCTGGCAAGGACAGGATTTTGGAACCCACGGGATTGGAACCCTCTGAGACACACACACACCAAAGGTTCAGATCTGCTGGCATGTGCTGAGTAATCAGGCTTTCGCTCTCGTTTGCTGTGCAGGTGAACACAGCCATCTTGGAGCAGCTGATCCCTCTGCGGGCCAGAGTGGCGAGGTTGCTGGGCTTCAGCTCACATGCCAACTACGTGCTCGCGGTGAACATGGCCCAGAATAGTGCCACCGTCGCCCGCTTTCTTGGTACGTTCCCCGGAACCAGATCCACTGGGGCGCGGGGGATGGTGCCGGGCTGAGATTAACCCCTCAGAAATGGCCAGGATGGTGGGTAACCCCAGCACCCGGTGGAGCGGAATCGTGGCTGTCAGGGTCACACTGCAACCACCACGATGAATTTTAAGCACCGGATTTGCATGCATTTTCGGATAAATCAGTGGAAACCAGGTCTTAGCTTCTTATCGGCAAATCAGATCAACAGTTAACAAGAGAACCCCTAAAGGTTCAGCTTTTCATCAGAGATTGGAGGTTTTCTGCTGAAATGAGGAACGAGGCAGCTTTCCCAGGAAGGTCAGGCCTCCTTCATGTGTGTTATGAACATGTCAGTGAACAACTGAGAGATTTTCCCCAAGCTCTGACCGTGATGGTTTCATGACCTGAATCCACATTATCAAGAACTTCTTTACATGAGGATGATGAACATGGGAAGATAGGTAATAATTGAACTAACTTAAAATATATAACCCACACTATACACAGAAACCATTTGGAAGTCAACTGTTGTAATACTGTGTTGTTCATATTACAAAATCACGTTTCCAGAGGTGGAAGTTCAGGTTCAGAAAGTACAGATCCAGACCAAGATTTCATTTCAACCAACCAGCTGTGCATAAAGACTCACATTAACAGAGTACTCAACTGGTTGCTAGAAACAATATCTTGGTCTGGATTTTTACTTTCGGAATTTTCTACCTCTGCACATTTTCCCCTCCATGTTTATTCAAACAATCAGTCGATACCGTATGGTTCTGTTTCAAATGTAGAGAATATAAATAAAGCAAAATAAAAATTCATGGCATTTCTGGTGGCAAAAAGGGTATAAAAGACATTAATCGCTGATTGCAGACTGCAGACACCATGCTTATTATATTTATTGCCGGTGACTGCGGGGAAGTGTTTTCTTCTTTTTTTGCAAGAGGTGGCTTCTGATAGCTCAGCAGCCAAGGTACCCAGGGTGGGGTAGGCAGCAAATCCACAAACCACCCTGCCGCTCTCGAGCAACTCATTGTGGTCGCAGCTGCGGTCGCAATTACAGCCGGAAAGGCATCCTGCGTCCTGGGAGCGTGTCGGCGCTGCTCTCCGTTTTCGCGTTCGCCTTCACCCGGCGGCTCAGTGGCATTCAGAAAAGGGCTCCGACTTCACGGGCCACGCTTTCTGACTGCGTTTTCTCCCCACCGGGGGACATTTATTGAAATGCGCCGAGGAATCTCCTTCGCAATAACATGCCTCAAAAGCCGCTGTGGGTTAGACTCAGCCGGCATATCAATGTTCCTGAAATGCAGAGCTGAGCACAGAAATGTGTACCTGCATGTCCAGTCAGCTCAAGTGGGCCTTATTGTCTTTCCATTCGTAAACAGGTAGATAGCAGCACAAAATAATGTTCCCCAGGGCCATGGTGTAACATACAGACAGTGGGTGACAAAGGGAGGGTTTTCACAGGACGTAAAGTGCACAAAACACAAGACAGTGTGAAACGGGGGCTGGACACAAGGGTTTATGTATGTAGTGCAAGGTACACTGCCCGGCCAAAAAAAAAAGTTGCCATTTGAATTTTTATTGGACCGCCTTTAGCTTTGATTATGGTGCACATTTGTCATGGCATTGTTTCCACAAGCTTATGCAACATCTCACCCTTTATTTTCATCCAGATTTGCATTCATTTCTCACCGAGATCCTGTATTGACAAGTGAGTTGAAACACTCCATAAAGCCTCCGTCAGGAGATCCCAAAGACCTTCAATGAGGTTAAGGTCACAACTCTGTGGTGACCAAGTCATATGTGAAAATGATTCCTCATGCTCCTTGAACCATTCTTTAACAGTTCGAACCCAATGAATCTTGGCATTATTGTCCTGGAATATGCCCATGCCAACAGGGAAGAAAAAAATCCATTGATGATGGTTGGAGGTGTAACCTGGCCATTCAGTAGATTCAGGTACTCAGCTGATTTTACTTCATTGCTGCATAACGTTGCTGAGCTGTAATAATGATCCAGTCATTGGCTCTTAAGAATTTGCTGATATAAATTCAAATGGGAACTTTTTTTTTGCCCGGGCAGTGTATATATGAACTATAAAAAATACAGCAGCGGTATCATGGGGTGGAATAAACAGATTGAAAAAAAAGATATGTTAAATTGATCTTTGCCAGTGAGGCGGGGTATTCTCAGGAATGGGTGAGGGTACTGGGGCCGACAAGTTACTTAGTCTCCTGACAGTTTCAGGGGAAGAAGCTGTTGCTGATTCTGCCATAAGTGACACAGATGTAGATAGGTGTACTGTCCAAACAAGTCAGACAGAACAGGGAAACATCTCAAAACAACCCTATATGTTGTGTGTTGCCTGATCTTCTGATGTTTGGGCCTTTGTGTGAATATACAGTATATATGAAGATTATCAAAGCTGACTGGTAGCTTTTGTAGAGAAGGCAATGGCTCCCGCATGCAGAGGTCTGTGTCTTGTGTGACAGATGAATTCCACGCGGCGCTGAAACTGGCAGGCAAGCAGGAGCTGCGCTACATCCTGGAGCTGAAGAGGCGGGAGTGCGAGGAGATGGGCCGGACGTTCGATGGGCAGATCCATGCCTGGGACATGCCCTACTACATGAACCAGGTGGAGCAGGTCAAGTTCGCTGTAGACAAGGACAAGCTGATTGAGTACTTCCCTCTGGAGATGGTGACACAGGGGCTCCTGAGCATCTACCAGGACCTGCTGGGCCTCACCTTTTGGCAGGTGCCCAATGCCCACGTATGGCATGACACAGTCAGCCTGTACTCCGTGCAGGACACCGCCTCCGGGGAAGAGATAGGACAGTTCTACTTGGACCTGCATCCCAGGTACTGTGCCGAGAACGACGTCTTTTGATGTCGCTCTTTATAAGTCCGATAACACGTATGAAAGTAAACTTGCATAATATATGGGAACATTGACTATCTACCGGAGGCAGTCAACTGAATGGGACACTCTTTGATGTTACACATCCCATTTTGGCTCCTACAATTGGTGTGAAAGCAAAATGATTACATATAGGAGGGATGTCTCCCACGTTAACCTCGCCTGTTATCATTTTGGGGGGAATATTTAATGAATTGCAGTAATAAATAATGTGCCGTGCTAAAATTTGAGCCTGCATAAATAAAGTATACGCATGACCTTTACGTTGCTCTGCCTTGTGCTCTGCACTGCCTGGACCCAGCTCCAGGCCCCCCCAGTGACCCTGTACCGGATAAGCACTTGGAAGATGGCCAGATGGACGTGACCTTTAACAGAAAACTGATTCATGGCATGTCGGGTTCACACGCACAGTGATGAGCCGGACTGGGCCGGATTCAGACTGGCGCCCATGGTGCTTTCTTCCAGGGAGGGGAAGTACGGGCACGCAGCCTGCTTTGGGCTGCAGCCGGGCGGCTTGGGCCCCGACGGACGGCGCAGGCGGCCGGTGGCAGCCATGGTGGCCAACTTCACAAAGCCCATGGCCAGCTGGCCCTCGCTGCTGCAGCACCACGAAGTGGAGACCTTCTTTCACGAGTTTGGCCACGTCATGCATGAGATCTGCTCCAGGGTACGCCCTTCCAGCACTCTCCTGAAATACAATCAGCACTGCATTTTCTCAATTACACCAAATCTCAGGCTACTGAAGCCAACCCACCCAAGCAGTTGAATGGTTCCATCTTCCTGCCATAACAAGGTTCAGACTGTAATTCAGGGCCCTAGGCAACCTAGCCTGCAGTCTGGTAGGAGGCTTCACAGCACTCTGACTAGCAGATTCAAGAACAGCTTGTTTCCCAAGTCATTCGAATTTCCAACATCCACATTTCCCATAAGTCATAACCGCAGCACATGCGTGTTATAGATCTGCACTTTATCAGTAACTGATTATATATCGGTCTGTTTTTCCACTGTATTTAGACTTTCATAACCAAGTGAGACTGAACAACTTGGCATTTCAGTGCACCTCAGTCTTGTAGCCTCATAGTTGCTGGCAACGTAATGTAGTAGTTTAAGCAGTAATGGATTTGCAGCCTGAATGGCTATCCAACATACGTTACTTTAGAAGGACGCATGAAGACCGTACAAATAAAAATCTGCGCATTTGTTCTCCTCAGACGGACTATGTGGAGTTCAGTGGGACGCTTGTTGAGACGGACTTTGTGGAGGTACCTTCCCAGATGCTGGAGAACTGGGTGTGGGAGAAAGAGCCCCTGCAGAGAATGACCCAACACTACAAGGACGGCAGCCCCATCCCAGACAGCCTGTTAGACAAACTCATCGCCTCCCGCGTGGCCAACATGGGTCAGCTTCCTTTACCCGCAGATAGTAAATCACCGGAGGAACTTCATCTTTTGAATGCAAAGAACACTGCATCTACCAGGCGCTAGAGTGTCTTCATTTGACATTTTAATTGTCAGAATTGCATTGATCTGGAAGGTTTATTTGCTGTGTGACCTTTATCCCGCGATCTCGTTTAGGGCTCATGAATCTGCGTCAGGTGGTCCTCAGCAAAGTGGACCAGGCTCTCCACACGAAGCCTAGTGCTGACACGGCAGAAGAATTCGCCAGGCACTGCAGAGACATCCTGGGGATTCCAGCAACTCCAGGTACATCTGAGCAGGAGGTGGTCCCTTCCCGTACAGGCATATGATGACAATGAGTACTTCTCTTTTCAGGCACAAACATGACTGCCAGCTTTAGTCATTTGGCTGGGGGTTATGATGGGCAGTACTACAGCTACCTGTGGAGTGAGGTCTTCTCCATGGACATCTTTTTCAGCCGCTTCAAGAAGGAAGGAGTCATGAATCCAAAGGTACATCCTACCAGGGATTCTGTACATCTTATCTTCCATACAGCATTACCAAAATCATCACACGAGCCTGTGTTTGAACGTTGACTGCCTGCACATTTTCAGGTAGGGATGGAATATAGGAAGGTGATCCTGGAAGCTGGCGGCTCAGTTGACGGTGCTGACATGCTGAAGGCTTTCCTGGGCCGTGAGCCTAGTCAGGAAGCCTTCTTCCAGTGCAAGGGTCTGCCCCAGCTGGGGGAATCAGGCTGAGCTGGCCACGCAGCACTCGTGTTGCTCTGTGGCTGACGGTGAGTGTGACTACACTCCTGCCAGGCTTACAGCAGGATCAAATAATGCTAAATGTACAATGTATCATTAAAATACACAAATGCCAGCCAGCTATTCTCATATGCACACTAAGGACAAGTTGAGGTCACCAATCACGTGAACAGCATGAGCCACACTGCTGCTGTATAAATCATGCTTTTCATATATAGAGAGGGCAGTGTCACATCTGTAGGGTTGGGGGTTCAAATCCCACCTCTGTTCTGTGAATATGTGGTGTTCGTCCTGCCTTCTTGCATGGGTCTCTTCTTGCAGCCCAAAGACATAATAAGGCTAAATGGCATCTCTAAATTGCCCATAGTGTGTGAAAGTGTATGTGTATGTATGTGTCCTGTAATGGACTGGCATCCCATGCAGGGTGTACCCCAGTCATGAGCCCAGTGCTGCGTGGGATCCAGACCTGTTGTGACCTTGACCAGGGTGAGCAGTTAGAAGATGCACGGATATAAATACCGGGATGAATCCTACCTAAATCCACAGTATATTGTCTTGTTTTGAGGTCTGTACCCACAGCTTAGCTTAATCATTCAGGTTTGGGGGTGGGGACGGGTGCTGAACCATGATGCACTGAAAGCTCTACCCCCCTGTACTTTAGTGAAATCTCCCTGGGCTCTGGTCACATGTTGACAGAAAAATACCTCAAATACATGCTGCCACTGCAGCCAGTGATATACTGTTATTTAAGGATCAAAAGTGCTTCCTGTTCTGTTACTGATATTATTTGGTTTTATTCATTTAGAATTTGGTATACATTTCCAAAATTAAATATATAATCAGCACCCTTCCAATAGTAAATATATACACAATTGGACTGGGAAAATGCAATATGAATGTACGTAAGCCTAATTTTATGGTGGCTTTTATATTTGATAATTGTGTGTTCTGCACGATTTTCCTTGTCACTTGGCCACCAGGGGGAGACACACGTCCATGAAGTAGGGAAGGCTTTCTAAAGCGTTTTTGAAGCTACCATTGATTATAAGTAAATAAATAGTGGAACTTGATTTTTTATTATTATTATTTTCATCTTGAATAAGATTGAGCTATGCACTATCCAGCCGAGAGTAGGTGTTCTTTTTTCCAGATAAATGTGAAATCAGAGTTCATGCAAGTTTTAAAGGTTGCCACTTTTTTGCAAATAAAAACTATTCAATGTAGTTGCATGTTGATTCAGCATAATATTTCAAGTTATACATGACGCTTCCAAACGATTTTGGAAGATGGTATTATCCAATAAAGTTGATTGTCTAGTAATCTGGGAAGTTGAGGTATATCCATTCATTCCAAATATTAATATTTAGTTTTCCCGTATTATGCGATAATTATGTATAAAAACAACAGCTGTAACCACCCAAATAGTGTAGTATAGCGTAGAAATAGAAGCAAGTTTTGCGCAAGGCAAAGTAATGCACTTGTGCCCTATGCTGCTGGGTACGGGCTCTGGGCTCCTGTAACCCCGAATGGGGTAAGTCGTTGGAAGATTAATGGATAAGCACACTTGAAACCATACAAATAATATATACAAAGGCTATTCTGCATAAATGCCACGCTCCTTCACAATGTGGTCGAATCATACAAATACAACAGAGGACAAAATGGCTGTCATAGGCATCAGATAAGTGTGGTGTAAGAGGGAGTGATGGTTTCATTTGGGGAGCCGTGTATCAAAATTACAAGTCATCATAGTTAAATCATTCATGGGCTTACAACAGTACAATGACTGAGGTCAACGGAAGATAGTTCAGTTAGTTTGTGTATACACACCGGGTTAGGTCGCAAACTGCTGATATGCCGTTTTCCTGGAATAAACTCATGTCCGGGGAATCACCGCACTGACTAAAACCTGGGTCAGTGACATGCCTGCTGTGAGCAATATGGTAAGAACCAAGATGTGCTTCAATTTCAGTTTTGCTCATTAGTTTACTAAACAATTAAATGTAATAAAGGTAATTCGGAAAGGAATATAAAAGACACGAGCCATTTTCCCCCAAACTTATTCTATGTCTCAAAGCGCGTAATCTTATTTCTTGGTCGCCGGTAGTGCAAAGATTTTAGGATGCGCGACAATTCCTCCTTCCCTTAGTAAAATAATTTCACTAACGTAGTTCCAGCCAGGACGGGAAATACTGACTGATGATTAACAGTAAATTTGACAATAAATCTACCCCGTCAGCGACAGTGAGTTAATACAGCGACAACAGCACTACTACTCATCTGTCGGCGTAGTAGGTATCCGCTGCTATAACATGCTAAACACACTGCTCAGTGGCGTCGCACATACAAATTCCATTAATACATAAAATAATTTTAAAATATCGAAACCTTTTTACTTTTATTACGTTAATTGTCTGTAAATAAGAGTTTTGCAAAGTATTTCCAGGTAGATTTAAGATTATTTATGTTTTTAATCCTCTTTTGATCATTTTTAACATCCTACCTGCAGGACATCCTAAGCTCAATTGTTCCGGTGCTTCAAGCCTAAGTAGTCAAACACAAAAAGGATACAACTAAACGTGCTACGGTAGTATGTTCCCGCCCTCCTCCACAACGAATGAGCACTACGGCTTGAGTTGCAACAAACGTGCCGTTTTCATTGGCCGGTAACCCACGCCATTCACGTTTAGCCCAGGGTGAACATTTTGATGGAAACCAATATCCACCAATCAAGATCGAGCAAGCGCTTGGCACTGGCTCTGGCGAGCTTTAGTGATTTCGCTTCTGACTGTATCGTGGACTTGAGCTTATTGAGCGTCACCCTACTGTCTTTTCGCCTGACCCGTCCTCCCTGTCTTTTGGCGTCAATTTCTCTTTTAAATGTCTTACCCACACCTCCTTTTCCCCGCTTATCAGTGAGGCGAAGGAGACGCTGCCCGTACTGAGCACATTTGGGTGCGGCGTTCTCTCAAGGAAAGAAAGCATTTTCGTTCAGCCAGCGGTGGACATTTTTTTCTTGCCTTTTGTATTTCGCTGCCCGTCGCAGGACATTCTTGGTTTTAATTTATTTGCGGATTTTTGGTCGCTTCTCTTCCTGGGCTCATTTGTCTGATTCTTTTCCGCGCTCGCCGACGTCCACCCGCTTCTAGCTGTTGCAGGAAGTTACTTACGAGCGTCAACAAAACTTGGACATAAACAACTTTCGGCGGAGAAGGGCTGCGCTTGGCGGAAGAGCCCGTCAACTGGCCGGCCTGCGGTGCCCAATGGCCGGCTACCTGCTTGCGGACGGCCGTCGCGCGCTCTGAACACCCGCTTTTCACCTCTTTCACTTTTCCCCTCCAGTTTTCCCGAGGAAGAGAGAGGCGCTTCTGTGGATTTAAAAACCCAATTCGGTGATTTTTTCAATGAGACAAGGCGCCAGAAACCCCGACGTCTAAGGTAAGTCGAGGCGTGTGGCGGGGCTGTGATCTGTGCGGGGGGGGGCGGGGGTTGTGGCGACTATAGACGCGGCTGTCCGGTGGGACCCGGCTTAAGAAAAGTCACATCCAGCCCCCCTCCCCTTCGCGGTAAGCACGGCCGTAACTTGGTGGCTCATCGCTGCGCCTCGCCGGATTCCGTCGTGTGAGATAGTGGTCCATGTATGTTGAAATCCGGAACCCAGGGAAGGGGGGTTTATAAGCGGCACCGGTGCGGCGATCGCTCTTTGTTCGTCTCCCTGGATGATGGAGTCAGGGGCCGAGCAGGACCGGAGACGATTCGTCTTCCCCGGTTCCTGCGGTTGGCTGCACATTGCCGGGCGCGTGTCGCCCATTGACGGTTTTCTGTGAGAAAAATGGCAGCTGGATTGTGACTGGGTACGAGGTACGAGTGGGATCGGGCTCTGCACCTTTCTCGTTTTCTTTCTATAGGCACGCATTTTGTGTCTATGGAGAAGGAACAAATGCCGGTGCAGGTTGTATTTTTTTGTATGTTACCATTTTCGAGACATTCAGTGTTTGCCTGGAGGCAACGCAGAGCGGTTTAATACAAACCCAGATAGCTAGCATTTCAAGCTGAATTTTACTATAAAATGATTGTACGGAGTCGTACGGCTGTCAGTCGGCGTCATGTGTTCCGTGTGCGGGATGCATGCAAGGTGTGAACTGGAGCAGATTAAAGCAAATTCCAGATTATTCGACATAATAAGCTTAGTATCTCTCACACTTGGATGCTTTGATCCTATATCGACTGAAAGCCGTTCGCCACTGATCTTGCGACGTTGCGCGTTGGAGGGGATCAATGAAAAGCGGAGCGTTACTAAGTAAAAATTAACATGCGGATATATATTTCTGAATGTGTCATCTGCTGTAACGATTAGTTAGACGATCCTTATGGCTTAAGTGTTCGGATATTTAACATAAGGTTATGGGAGGACGATCCATTTATCTTGTAATCGATTATCGATTATGAAACGGCATTATGAAGTTTAAAGTGCCGTTTATTTGCTCTTCCTCACTCATAGTTGTGGCTTCTGGATGAAAGGCATTTGTTACTTTTGATTTGTGGCCGAGGATCACAGTGACTCGCCTGAGCAGGTGATAAACCGCGATAATAGGATAAAGTTGTTTACGAGGATTAAAGGCCCTTCTTGGGCCGGGGTTTTGTCTATGGGTCTCTTTCCACTCTAGGCTTTGCACACTAACACACCTGACCACATTACAGAGAAAACGGCAGTTTCAGCCTGAAAATTTGGCCGATGCTTAAAACCGAAGCGACGCTTCAAACACAATACCGATGATGCTATTAACCAAATGTATAATTTTTCTGGGTTAGTGTGACTGTATATTTTCTGTTAATGGGTTTTGGTTTTCATTGTTAGGCTGACTTACATGAACATTAAAGATGGAAGTTTTTCACCTGCCTCATCAGGATTATATTGAAAAACAGTGATCAGTTAACAGTTCAGGATAGTCCTGTCTGTGACTTGTACTGTATGTAAGCACCTTTAAAGGGATCAGGACAGTTCCAACCTAACCTGTTTTTGGATAAAATAATGCTTGTATAAGTAAAGATTGGTGCTGTGTTTATTCACTTAAATTCTTTAAGGATTACATCTGAACGTTAGTAATGCTTGAAATTAAGGTTAGGCACAATAAGTCTCGAATTAAGTCTTTTGTGGATTGAGATATCGTATTTCCATCAAGCTTTTAGTTTATTTTGGGTGTGTATAAACCAATTCTGAAGCTCAGGGTGGATGCATCAGGAAAACTCTTGAGGCCTCACAATTTGTTAGACCCACTGGTAGCTATTATTTAAAATCCACAAATGGGACTTGTCCGAATGAATTATCCAAACAAGCACAATGGAATTTGTCATTTGTTGGTTTTTAAATCTTGGCTCAAAATATATTTATACATTTGAGTCACAAAGTAACACATTATAGAGTATTTTATTCTTGTTTAAACAAATGCTTCCTTTTTAATCCTGTTCTTCTATTAGTAATTATGCAATGGAAGATCTAAATAGTGTTTAAGTTGAGTATAATTAAAGTTATCGCCTCTATGCTTTACATACTCTATGGCTGCTTTTTTGGCACCAGTTTGTGTGAGAGTTTGTGCAATTTAGCATTTTAAACCACTTAACAGAAACCTATCAAAGTAACCTTCAGGCAATATTTCAGAGAATACCTGTTATCATCTAGTGGTCTGTCCTGGGGAGTATACCATAAAGCAGGATTTTTTCATTAGCCCGATAACCTGAATGTAAGGATTGTCCACTTACCTCTCTTGCTATTGGATAGTTTTCATGTTTGGCTTAAGTTATCTAGCTAACTCCTGCTTTGTGGCATACCCACCTGATCTGGAAATGGTGCCAGTAAGTTCAAACTCCTGTGTGGGCTGAGAAAAGACTTACAGCCTGGGTGTTGGCAAAGTGACACACAAAGCCCATACAGTTCCAGAGTTAACATTATGCTGTGCCTTCCGTTTGAGGTATGATGTCATTTGATTGTCTCTAAGTGTGAGGGTTGTGTTTGTATGTTTAGAAACATGGAGGTGTTCAGAAGTCTTACCCATGTTTCCACAGAGGCAGGTGGGTTTTGAATTATGTAAATGGGGCCGTTGGCTGCTTTTCGGAGTTCCTCTGTTTCTGGGACTCATCAGGCCCTATAAGGATTGTGGCAGACCAAGTAAAAGTGGGAATTTCAGACATATTGGGGGGGGGGGGCAGGTTGTGATGCTTGCCT